GTTTTTTTTTTTTATTCTCTTTCTGCCCTCCCCAACTTACCTCTCTCGCGTCTCGTCCCCGCCGGCGGGGGGGGGCCCCCCCCGCGCCAGAGAAAGTAGTAAGACAGCTGAGGTTATAACGATATATACCAGGTATGTATAAGCGTAAAACTACATTGACTATCTATACGGAGAGAGTAATAAGTCTATAGCTTAGGTAAGTAGGCATATTACTGCATAGCACTATTCAAGTTTGGTAACTCATTAGGCACCTATAAAAACACAAGCGGAATTCTTCATAGGTAGTTGACGTTGTTGGTGTTATAGGATCAAATGCGGAGTGAACCCTCCGCAGGCGGTAAGGTATAAGGTACTTCATATCATTGACGGTAAAAGGGTCTCGTCCCTCTAGGAAAAGTACCTCGGTACTTACTATCCACACCCGCACCTAGCTACAGCCTACCTAGGTACATACTAGGTAGTAGGTTAAAGCACAGCGTAACCTAAAATACCTACAAGTAGGGAATAAGTGGGACTATATAGGTAAATGCCTAGTTCGGACAAGACGCCGGGTTTGAAAAGCTTATTAGGTTAGATAGGACCGCGGCCCAGACGGGTACCTAGATATGCACAGGTGTCGCTCCTACCTCTGTCAGATTGCGACGAAGTGCCGTACTACCTAATGTACAGCGGACAAGTTAAAACCTGTCAAGTGCAAAGCTGTTAAGCCTTATTAAAGTACCTCTTAAGTTCAAGCTTACCTAGGTCCAGTACTTATAAAATCAAGCCACATCCACTGGACCATTGAACGGAGAGAACGGGCAAATTAAACAAAATTAACACAAACTCATGTCTGGTTGTTCCCCAAGCGGTTCCCAGAGTGTTCCCCCAAGGAAACTATCAAATACCTAGATGAAAGGAATCGCCATAGCAGCGGATGACTTATTCCCGCTCTTGGTACGATCTTAACCTTAGACAGCATTCAAGCGATCTTCCTTCGAAAATAGCCAGGAGCAACTAACACAGTGCCGCATCTCGTAGGAGCAAATCTCGAGATATTTAACTATCATCCCATCCCATCCTATCTCTTCCCTCCCGTATCCTCTACCTCGATGACGAGCCGCTCGACACCTCGGAGACGCCAGACCTTGCGAGATTCGCATGCTGCTTCGCGAAATGGCGCCACTATGACTCCTAAGGTCATCAATGCGGGACCTTCCCTCGAGAAAGCCGAGCTATACGGAATAGATGATCAACGCCCGACCTTCTCCAAGCTTATGGGTCTCGCTGGCCGCATCTTCATCGAAACTATACCTCAATGGCTGGCCGTCGGGGCTATGCTCAGCCTGATCTTTGGCGGCTGTTGTTCAAATGTGAGAACAATCTGGTCCAAGCCTTTTCTTTTTCTTTTTCTTTTTTCCCTTCGCCCATAATGGAGAGCTAACATTGTACCGCGCTGCGCAGGTCTTTGCTCTCGAGGCCATTATTAAGTAAGCTCCTACAGGCTACAACCCAGGTTTTGCGCTTGCGTTCCTAGCTAATATCAACGTCGTTAGTGTTGAACCGGCGAGTGGTACGGCAATCTGACAATATTCGATTCACCAGGAACAAGACTAATAGCCTTCGTCCATAGGAACTCTTTTGACTTTCGTGCAGTTCCTCTTCGTTGCCGTCACAGGATACATTTCGCAGTTCGATATTACGCGCCCGCCCTTCTTCGTGAAGCCGAATCGAGTCCCAATCCGTCGCTGGCTGATCAACATAGTTCTTTTTTTCAGCATTAATGTGTTAAATAACCACGCCTTCAGCTACGATATTTCCGTACCGGTTCACATTATTCTAAGATCCGGAGGCAGCATTACAACAATGATTGCGGGTGGTTTGTATGGAAAGAGATACTCTCGCATCCAAGTTGTGGCTGTTCTCTTGCTTACGGTTGGTGTCGTGACGGCCGCGTGGTCGGATGCTCAGTCTAAGGCAAGGTTCCTCTTTCTTGCCTTCATTTGTGCTTGTATCTAACCATCAACAAGGAAACATCTACTTCAAGCTCCCAAGAAAAAGTCCCCAAGTTTAGCACAGGCCTGGCAGTCCTCCTCATCGCACAAATCCTGTCGGCTATCATGGGACTATACACGGAAGAAACGTACAGGGTCTATGGAGCGCATTGGAAGGAGAATCTGTTCTATTCGCATGTGCTCTCATTGCCGCTTTTCTTACCATTTTCCCGGTCTCTAATTAATCAGTTTATGCGCTTGGCCGATAGCAAGCCACTACCACTCCCGTTGCTAGCAGAGCACGTCAATCTGCCGAATGTCTCGGCCAGCGTGCGACAACGCATCGAGGGAATTTACATTCCCAGTCAGGTAGCCTACCTTGCTCTCAATGTTTTGACACAGTACGCCTGTATCCGAGGGGTCAACCTACTAGCTGCTGCATCATCCGCGTTAACAGTTACAATCGTGCTCAATATACGCAAGCTGGTTAGCTTGCTGCTTAGCATATGGCTTTTTGGGAATCGGTTGGCGCCGGGGACTCTGATAGGTGCCGTCGTAGTGTTTTCCGCGGGTGGCTTATACTCGTTAGATTCCAAGAAACCAGCTATGAAACCGAAGACGAGCAGTGGGAAAGCGGGATAGTCAACTAGGATATATTGGGAGTCTATACATTCTGCCCGACTTCGCTCTCAGACCTGTTAATGCAATGTCGTTAGGCGACTTGTTCTTATGGTAATCAATAACTAGGAAGTGCATTTTATTTTACGAGTGTATAGTAAAACCAAAAGCCCAGTCGCCAGGCAATATGAATTAGTCTTGCGAATTGCAGTTCGTTTGCCGTTACTATGTAAGCTAGTTAGTTGAAGTTGATGATGTTTGCAGATCGTGACCGAGGTCTCCATATTGAAGGCAAGTATACCTATCACCAACATAAAAAACTGTATTTAACTCCCGTAAAGTCCACGGTTATTTTTATACCTGCCTATGACTAAAACATCACATGAAAGACGAGTACAACCTGGCATGGGGTTCGGTACTTATATGCAAGGTACATACCTACCTAAGGTACCTGTATGATTATATTAGGTACCGGGCCGTAAAGACATGGGTATACTTATATACCGGATGAACATTACGTACATAATATCCATTAGGTTAGGTACCTATGTAGGGTATCTTATCGCCTAAAACTACGTTCTAGGCTACCTACATGTAGGTACTACCTTATCGAAGACATGCCCCTCTAGAAGTACCTAAACGCTAGAAAAACGAAATAATGGTGCATCTACGTAGGTAGTACCACGCCGGCCGGAATATACGAAATAATTATCTTTGCCCGAACTCGTTCGGGATATTGTATCGAGCCAGCTCGTTCGAATTAAGATAAGAAGTTCGTCGGTGCGCAACACCTTAGGCATTTTATTAAGTGCATTATCAGATTTTCTTCGAAAATACGTACCGCTACCATGGGGAGCCGTAACTTCAAGCGGCCGTTCGAAGTAAGGTATTGTAGATCTACCTTAGAGTTCGGGCTCTTGTGCTACCCGAAGGATGGTCATGTTCTAATTATTACCACATTAATTATTACCTTGTTAGTTTTCATTTTAACGCATTAGGTAATGGGACTTATAGTAATAGGCATGTTGCTTAGAGAATGGAGAATGTACAATACCGTCCCCCCTCCCCCTCCTTTTTTTTTTAATATATATAAAAAAAAAATACCATTCTATGCCCCTCATTTACCCCTCCATTTTACTTTGGAAAAAAAAAAAGTTTACTGGTGCATATCAATACGGTAAATACTATTATCTATATCCAACGAAACTAACCACATGGGATATGAAACAACTTACCTAAAAAGCTTAGAAGTAAAGTACATGCAGGTACATGCATAGGTACCTTGCCGTCATACCTAGGTACCGAAGATAAGGTATGTACATATCGGAGGCGCTCAAATCGAAGTTGATAAACTTCATTCTCTGAGCAAATTCGGATATGAATGTATCGTACTTAGGTATTCTCATATTCGCTACTAATCGTACAAAGTACAGCTTTCAAAAAAGAGTAAACTCGAGAAAAGTTTACCGCTACCTTAGGTAGTTAAACTCGTCTTTCAACAATTTAGACCTCGTCAAAGCCAGACTGCCAGACTTTAAAGTTACTACGACGTTGCCACTCATCTCGGCTATATCAGAAACATGTCTTGTAAGTCATCCGGCGAACCCTACTCCTAGCCATGTTTCATGCTGTCGGTTCATGCTATCGGTTGTAAACTGTTACATCCCGTCCTGCTAACAACACCGACGCAGCATCTTTCCGTTCCACATCTCCCAAAAACTCAGCTGCCCATCAGGCACTTGAATTCGACTCAGACTCGGATGCCGCAGCACATGCCATAGATAGTGACTCGGAAACGGATGGTCCTGGACATCACACCGAGTCACCCAATCGGAAAGAGGGTACAGCGGGTGATGCACCAGATCATCAAGGAAATACATCTCCGCCCTCGCTCGAAGATGGCATGTTACTGCGAGATCGTCCTAGAAAGACCACATTTCATGACGCTGTAGCTGAGCGGCAGTCAATTCAGACCGACGCCAAACTTATCTATCAACGAACCCAACTGGACCAGTTGAAAACGGAGGGGAGCAACTGGAGCCAGTCACAAACTCCTCATGGCAGCCCTGTCGCTTCTGTTGGCTTAGCACCTGCAAAGTCGGCCAACGAGACTTCAACTAGTCGTCCTTATTTGAACCTAGGCACCAACCCAAACTCTACACCTCTTCCCCCTATCTCGCAGGGTTACGACTTTCCTCATATTGCAGGCTCCTCGACTACTAATCTTCGTGACCTTGACACCACTCCCCACACAGCTACGCAACCGTCTTTAGGACGAGATACCGGTCCCCCACCGACTAGTCACCCCCGTAACGAGCCTTACCAGGAGCGTAGCGGCGCAAGTCTGCAACCTAACATGGGGCTTCCCGAGGCAGCATCGTCTAATATTGCTAGTGGCATGGGTAGCAATGACCCTCACGTCATAGCCGAACTGAGCACCATCTTCCAAAACATACAGAAGGTCTTAGACATTCGCCATAAGTATATCCGCTTGTCCTTGCAGAGAGACGGTGATAATCCCAAGGACGACCCGAGTTGGGATATTTACCCTCCTCCACCGGAGCCAGCCTGGGCTGAAGCTTTTATAAATCAGGACAGCCATGGCATGAATACGGGAAATAATAGCATGAGCAACAGCACTGTTCTATCTGCCCAACCTGGTGCTCAGCGGCCTGATGAACCCAGACCTGCAACCGCAGACACCCGACCTAAACGGATATCGAGGAAGCGCAAGCCGGGCCATGATATCGGCGAGGACTTTGAAATGGCAGACCTCCTACCTCTCCCTCAAGGGAGCGAATTTATCTTTCGTCTAGATGACAATGGTGTTTACCAAGTCTTCGAGAACGAGGCCGCGGGTGAAGCTAACACACCGGTGGTGGGAGTGCCTACAATTAAAGATTTCTACATGGATCTAGAAGAACTCTTGGCCATATCATCTGATGGCCCAAGCAAGAGTTTCGCCTTTCGGCGGCTGCAGTATTTGGAGGGCAAATTTAACCTTTACGTGCTCCTAAACGAGTATCAGGAAACCGCAGATACCAAGAAGGTGCCTCATCGAGATTTCTACAACGTAAGAAAGGTTGACACGCATGTCCATCATTCGGCTTGTATGAATCAGAAGCACCTGTTGCGATTCATTAAAAGTAAGATGAAGAAGTGCCCGGACGAATACGTGCTCTTTAGGGATGGTAAGAACCTCACACTAAAAGAAGTGTTCGAGAGTATCAATTTGACTGCATATGATTTAAGCATCGACACTCTAGATATGCATGTAAGTTAACGATCTAGACCACCATGTATTACTTTCCGGATGACACAAATTCCTAACCTTGGCTTAGGCCCACACTGATTCATTCCATCGCTTCGATAAGTTCAATCTCAAGTATAATCCCATCGGTGAATCGCGGCTGCGAACTATTTTCCTCAAGACGGATAATTTCATCCATGGCCGTTATCTAGCAGAAATCACCAAAGAAGTCATTTCCGATCTTGAGTCCAGCAAATACCAGATGGTAGAATGGCGAATCTCGATATATGGCAGGTCTTTGGATGAATGGGACAAGCTTGCTGCATGGGTTGTCGATAACAAATTATTTTCGCATAATGTTCGTTGGCTCATCCAAATTCCACGGTTATACGATGTCTTTAAGGCCACCGGGTTGATGGAGTCCTTCGACCAACTTGTAAAGAACGTCTTCCAGCCACTTTTCGAAGTGACCAAGAATCCAGAGAGCCATCCAAAGCTTCATATATTCTTGCAGCGAGTTATTGGATTTGATAGCGTGGATGATGAGAGCAAGGTTGAGCGGCGACTTTATAGAAAATTCCCCGTGCCAAAGGAGTGGAACTCTAAACAGAACCCGCCATATAGCTATTGGATTTACTACCTCTTCGCAAACATGACCTCGCTCAACTTTTGGCGTCGCCAACGTGGCTTCAATACGTTCCTACTCCGGCCTCATTGTGGAGAGGCAGGTGATAGCGAACATCTGGCTGTTGCCGTACTGTGCAGTCATAGCATCAGCCACGGGTTGCTGCTGAGAAAGGTTCCCTTGTTGCAGTACATTTTCTATCTTGAGCAGATAGGTATCGCCATGTCGCCGCTGAGCAACAATGCGCTTTTCTTAGCCTATGAGAGGAACCCGTTCCATCAGTACTTCAGACGTGGACTGAACGTATCTCTCTCTACAGACGACCCGCTTCAATTCGCATTCACAAAAGAGCCACTGATGGAGGAGTACGCTGTTGCAGCACAGATTTATAAATTGAGCCCAGTAGATATGTGTGAGCTCGCTAAAAATTCAGTGAAGCAAAGTGGTTACGAGTATTCCATCAAACAACAGTGGCTAGGAGAAAGGTTTAACCTACCTGGCAAAGATGGGAATAGTATGGTCAAGACTAACATACCAGATCGAAGAGAAGAATTTAGGTATCATACGTGGGTTGAAGAGCATCGCTTGTGCGTACTACGTAGAACATGACCCTTGCCTATACCATTGACGCTGACTCTTTTCGATCTGTAGGATATCGAGCTATACTTCTGCGAACGAGCTGGACGAAGTGCTTGAGCACCATCCGACAATTACTTCAAGTCAAAACCCAACATCGCCAACGTCGTCCGTTATGGCAAATTTGGACTCCAGCTCTCACGTCTTGCTTAACACTGGGAGCCTGCCACGCGTAGGATCACAAGCCGACCTTGATACCCATACGAACGGGTCATTCCCAGCCTCTGGGTCTGGGCTTGGCCTATCGCAATGGGAACCCTGGCCGTCAGAGGGACTTCGCGAAACGCACCTTTCTGTGCATGAGCCTCGGTACATTCCGGGTATGATGGCGAGAGCGTCAAGGCATGGCAGCATGCACCGTAGTTCGATGCATGAAAGTGACGATGCGGGTTCTGTTCGCAATATTTCTAAGAAATCTAACGGGAAGGAGGGCCAGAGCCAATAGGTCAAGATTGAACATAAGTCTAGCTTGGCTAGTACCTAGTATAATCCTTGTCGGCTGTTGTGAATAGCTGATCTGGGAACAGAAATTTGGTTAAGAGCATCTTGGCGCTAGGTCGGTTTTGCTAATTGTTAAATTCGCTATGGAGTACAATTAAGGTGGTTTATGGTTTATGTTGATGAAGCAATCTTGGGAGCTAAGTATTATGTGCTATTATGTCATAGGTACGCGTATACCTACCTCTAAGGTAATATGCATCTTGGATTCTGCATAACCGGTACAACTATAAATTAGATAAGCTCCCCTTTCTGTCGTAGGTAGTAGGTAGATTACATGCATAGATACCAATAGGTAAAACACGCGTAATTATCATATGTAATTAATGGATTTTAGAGGAGCTTTTGCATGGAAGTAGGTAAAGTTCAGCATGTGTCCAATTTAGCGCGGTTAGTAATTTCTGGTCCTACCAGCCCTGCCTGTCTACCTGCTTAAACGAACCAATTCCCGCCTCAGTCCGATTACGACCCTCTAATCGACCCTCTATCGAACCCTCCTCTTGTGTTCCGGCGACTGCTTCAAGTCGTGTTACCTTCAACACTTATCAAAATCTCCTTTTCTCTTTCCCCTTCCATTTCCCCTTCTACTTCTACTTATTCTTCTCTCCCAATCCCCGAGATAATCTACTAACCTACCCGTCGGCTTTGGGTACGGCACAATTGCGAGGCATCTGTAACATGTTTGCGTATAGCTACCTCGCAACGTTGATTTAGAAAAAAATATATAAAAAAAAGAGAGAGAGAGAGAAGCAAACCCTGGGAAACTTGTGCTATTATCCTTTGCGCACCTTGCCGCATCTCCACGTTTTATATCTAATAATTGTCTAAAGGGAAGGCCGCTTTGAATTATTTTGATATCTCTCCGTTAGAATTTAGCCCTTCGCCCCTTTTTGCCTACGGCTTCTGCTACTTTGACCGACAAACCGCTTCAGCCGCATCTCAAGCTGCGAAACCCTCTCGTTATCCATCCGGACCCTCTGCCTCGGCCGCACGAATCCTTTCAACCGCTCGCTTTAGGTCTCGTATGCGATCCTGATACAGCCGTAGTCCGACCCCCTCAGTAATAGATTCCTTACAACGAAACTCGTCTATTCACCTTTTCTATTCAACATGGGGTTCTTGGGTATTTACAAGGCCGTCTACGATTATGCGCCACAATCCGAAGGAGAGCTATCAATAAGTGAAGGCGATATTCTCTACGTTTTAGAGAAAAGTGCAGAGGATGATTGGTGGAGAGCCAAGAAGAAGGCCAGTGCCGACGACGAAGATGAACCTGTCGGCCTGGTACCTAATAACTACGTAGAAGAGGTGCGTATAGCCACATCGCGAACCGCTTTGAAATATCTTTCACAAAGTAGTATACTGAGCTTTTTGACAGGTGCCGCCTGTAGGGCAAGCTCGGGCATTGTATGAATATACCCGACAGACCGATGAAGAGCTATCTTTTCCCGAGGATGCTGCGTTACAAGTTTATGATATGTCCGACCCGGACTGGATTCTTGTCGGGTTTGAGAACTCCTATGGCTTCGTCCCCGCGAATTATATTGAAATGGGTGTAGCCTCGTCGGCCCCAGCTACGACACGAAAATCTGAATCCGGACCGGCGCCAGCACCCCAAGTTGAACCCGAGCCAGAGCCAGAGCCAGAGCCAGAGCCAGAACCAGAACCGATACCCGTACAGAAGCCACCATCCTTACCTGCACGAACCTCTGTTTCCTCTCCCCCAGCCGAGTCACAGCCACTCCAGAGCCCCTCTCTTCCGGACAGAAACCCTGCGGCAAGATCTTCAGCTACCCCCGCGGCACATCCGGGTCCAGAGGCTACTTTGGCCAATGTGATGCACGGCAGAAGCTCTGCTCGCGCGGCAACACCTCCGCCGGTTATTATACCTCCTCGTCAGCAATATATTTCTGAAGAATCTGACGGCGAACCGAGCCCCGCTCTACCAAGACGGCCACGACCCCAATCGAGTATGCCAAATGACAAGCATCGTGCGTCGGTTCACCCGCAACGGTCCACCAGCCGCCGTGACCACGAAGAGGAATTACAACAGAATTCGGGCCGAATTGCTCCTGGTGGCTTTCACTTGTACAATATTAACGAAATGGTATCTATAATGGGCAAGAAAAAGAAGATGCCGACGACACTGGGCGTAAACTTGAAAACGGGGGTTATTCTAATCGCCCCCGAGCATGTCTCGGACGGCCCGAGCCAAGAGTGGACTGCGGAGAAGATGACACACTACTCTCGAGAGGGCAAGCACGTATTTATGGAGCTCGTACGGCCAAGCAAGAGTATAGATTTTCATGCGGGTGCCAAGGATACTGCCGAGGAGATTGTCAGCGCACTCGGCGAGCTGTCTGGAGCCGTACGGGCAGAAGGTCTACGGGAGGTTATCATGGCTGGAACCGGCCAAAGCGCCCAGAAGAGAGGGCAGGTTCTCTATGACTTTGAAGCCCAGGGAGACGACGAAGTTACAGTTTATATAGGAGACGAAGTCATAATCCTTGACGACACCAAGAGCGAAGAATGGTGGCAGGTTCGGCGCCTCAAAAACGGAAAGGAAGGAGTTGTTCCGAGCAGTTATATCGAGGTCACCGGGGCGATTACATCGTCATCGACGTCGGGTGTCAACGCAGGCAGGTCTACCGTAGCGCAGAACCGACTAGAAGAGGCACGCTTGACTAAAGAGGCGCTCAAGAGAGACCAAAAAGCAGCAGAGGTAGGGCCTGGAATGATTTTGCCTGAGAGGCGTAGTAGTTTGTCGGTGAGAGATAATGGTAACACTTTTGGGCAACAGCGAAACCGACGCGAAAACGGCCGATCAGAAAGCAGCCGCTCTGGTAACTCCTCGAAGCCTAGTAAGTCATAGTTATTTCCGGCTTGTAAAGCAGGCAAGACTAATAACGCCCTTAGAACCGGATATGACCAAAGTGCGAACTTGGACGGATCGATCTAAATCATTTAGTGTCGAGGCACAGTTCCTCGGGCTTAAGGATGGGAAGATTAACCTACATAAGCTTAACGGCGTCAAGATTGCAGTTCCCGTTGCCAAGATGTCGATCGAGGATATCGAGTACGTCGAGCGTATTACGGGGATGTCCTTAGACGAAGACAAGCCCCTATCCGAAGTAAAGCGTTCTATGCCTCCAAAGAACAGTTCGAACCGAGAGTCCGCTTATAGCAAAGTTGGTGCATCTGTCGAGCCGGCAAAGCCAGATTACGATTGGTTTCAATTCTTCCTATCTTGTGATGTTGCCGTTGGCCTTTGTGAGCGATATGCTCAAGCATTCGCTAAAGATTCTATGGACGAAAGCGTTCTACCTGATGTCGATGCGACTGTCCTGCGCAACCTTGGTCTGCGGGAGGGCGATATAATCAAGGTCACACGCTACTTGGATAAGAAGTATGGCCGCGACGGCAAGAAAAAAGGCGTCAGCTTTTCTGGGGACGATGAGGATGGTTCAAGTGGTGGTCTCTTCTCGGGACCGGGCGGGACGCTCCGAAACAACACTCGAAAAGGTCGACCCGCTCCGGCTGTCCAAACTAATGATAATATAGATCCCAAAGCATTTTCCCAGCAGAAGGATAACAACGGGAAAGATACGGAATCATCTTCTCCTACTGCAGCTGGCTCGAAGGCTACTGGGAAGAGTGGCGGCGGGTTCGACGATGACGCCTGGGACGTAAAGCCGACCAAGCAACAATCAGAACCTGAAGCGAAGCCGGCTCCGACCCCTGAACCAGCTCCAGCTGCTCCTGTTCAAGGTCAGCGGCCGCCAACGCAATCTATGCAAGATCTCTCTCTCCTATCGACTCCACTAGAGCCGGTTAAGGTACAGCCGACGGCTCCATCCCCTACCATAACTCTACCACCACCCCAAGCCCAGCCGCAACAGACACAGCCCCAACAACAAGGAGCGACACCAGCATTTTTCACGGGCCTACCGCCTCAGCAGACCGGTCTTCCGCAAGCGCCAGGTGTTCCGGCTCAGCCTCTCAATCTGGGCCTTGGTAACCGGCAAAGACCTACCCCGCCTCAAGTTACCGGCGCTCAAGGTGCTCTGATGCCGCCGCCGCCATCACGACCGTTATCGGCACCGCAATCCATGCAGCCTAGCGGGTTCGCGCCACCTCCGCTACAACCTCAAATGACGGGTATCGCGCCTCCAGGACAGAGCTTGAACGAACTCACTCAACAGCGAATGCAACAGCAATATATGGGCTCCTTCCAGCCACAGGCCACTGGTCAGGGCATGATACCGTTCAACACGGGTGCGGGCATCCCCGCCCAGTCGGCGTTCGGATCGGGTCAGTTCATGCAGCCGCAGATGACTGGGGCGCCCCAGATACTGAGCCCATTTGCAGATCCCCGTCCTCAACAGTTCTCTCCAATCCAAAACCAGCCTACGGGCTTTCCCGGCGGTTTCCAAGCACCACAGCAATTCCCGCAACAGACAGGTATCAACTCTTTTCTCCCTCCCGCCCTGGAACCTCAACGCACAGGTATGCCGTCGTTGCAGCTACAGCAGACTGGCTTTGGCGGCTTTGGTCAAGGTTTCAACCCGAGCCTGAATAACTCATCAGCTCAGCCTCTACAGCCTGTCGCGGCTCCCCTTGTTCCCCAGCAGACAGGCCCTCCACCTCCTGTACGCTTTGGCGTTACAGAGAAAATTGCTCCCCAGCCAACTGGACGCCGTGCGAACCTAGCCCAAGCAAGTAAGTATTTTCTATCTTTGATAAATAGCACTTATCATCGGCTAACTTGTTCTAGCCCCGGACAATCCGTTTGGGTTTTAGAAGCCTCATGTTCGAGGCGCTTTGGTCGATTAGTCGTAGTATAAAGCCAGTGTTTACAAGAGTGTTTTATTCAGATGACGGGTGGGTAGGCTTAATATATTAGAGCACGATACTAGTTAAGTCGTGTCCTGAATAGTAATCACATATCGCGCCGCTAAAGCTCTGTCTTCAATGTACCTATCTATCTTGAGCGAGTTTGGCGGTAACATAATCTTGAGCCAGGAGCAGTCGCCGCGGAACTATCGCCGCGGAACTATCACAGAGGGGTCTCGAGATGATCAAGCAAGAAGGGGGTCTGAGAGAAGAATGACAGGCCATGTATAGCAGCGGCAGCGGCAGCAGCAGCAATAGCAGGGGTTCGAGGCTGAAAGTAGACATTGCTTGGACACGGGTTTACCTACAAAGAAAGAAGAAAGAATGTATGGCCTCTTCTCCATCCATATATTATACCTTATATATATACATTTTAACTATTATTTTTCTGAACTGGAGGGCTTTGAAATGTACTTAGCTACCTACCCAGATAATTTATTATACGTTATAGTGGCATAGGGGTGCGCAAACTCTTATAACACTTCAGGTACGTACCTTATAAGTCTGGAAAACACCCAAAACTATCACATACGACCATAGGATCTGGAAAACTCGGGATCCCGTCTGCTCTCCTCATCGATAAGCCAGATACCGCCAGATTAGTAGTTGGGTCGGTGACGACCAGCGAATCCCTGGTGTTGTATGTTTTTTTATTTTAATTTAAATTTTAATAATTTGTTGGCCCATTTCAGGACGTACACTAGGCTAGATTTCCTATGTGATATCGAATCTGAAGATCTCTTTTCTTACTGAGAAGTTATCATGTCGGCCTTTTTGCCATGATGCTGCTGAGAATATGCCGAGATTCGTGTGCTGTTACGAGTATGATGGCGTGTATGGTGATATTGGCGGCTAGTTAAATGGATCAATTACTATGCCTGCCTTGTATAGAACATCACCAGATCACCTGCGTTATAACGTAGAAACTATCTTAGTATTCGTAATTTTTATCTTCTTCTCATTTATTGATTAGCTGGCCAACGAAATTGACATAAAACTCATTCATCAAGCTTCTTGTTCCGTACGAATGTCCCTAAGTTATGACTGGGCACCTTAGTGCGGCTGAGTTCGCCTTCATATTAGCTTCTCCTTCACCTCACGTCACGGCTTGCTAATCAAAGACCACGCGTCTCAAATTTGGGGTCGTTGTGTTGTCACCTCGCTGTTAAGGGGCCAAGAGACTGCTTCGGAGCTTTTAGTAATCAATCATAGCGCCGAAGGACCATGTAAATAATCGATGTTTCTCTATTCGCAATATCAGATCGGTGGGGGCTCATCTGCTTCTTCTCCGTCAAGTAAAGTGCGCCGGCGCCGGCGAGTCTTTAACTCATCATTACCAGGCTGGGCTCCAGTGGTGACTGCCTTGTCCTGTCCCGGCTTTTCCTCAACCTTGACTTCCTTCTCCTTGGGGTCGAACCGCTTACGAACAGCGTCGATCATTTTGAAGAACCAGTAGAAGTTCAACGAGTTCAGGGTTAGGTTGCTAGCGGTGTATACAGCGGCAAGCCACAGTGGGATGCTATTCGGCCGAGTAACGAAACGCATGGTATTTGTATACTGGGAAGGGAATGACGCTTCGAGAAGTTCTCCGGGAGTGAGAGCTGTTAGGACCGTTGGTGTCGAGTTTACGCCCGCCCATAAGTCGCGGGCCACCAAGAAGGATTGATAGGTTCCCCAGACAAGACGGCAAGAGAAAAAGGTGGCAATAAGTATCAGGCCGTTGTAGAGTTGTGCCCTAGACCCAGTCATACCCAGCTTGTCAAAGAACCAATGAATGTTGAGGAAAGGCGAAGAAAGCTCCCAGAGGATGAAGTTAGTGCTATAGTAGTTGAGGAACGGGCGCTATTATGCAAGGTTAGCTCTCTGGGCTCAAGTTAGCCATCCAGATAGGACCTACGAAACCAAAGGAATAGACGGCCAAGGCACTAATGGCATGCGCGAGCATACCAAGACCGAAAATATTAGGGTGGGCAGCGGTGATAATAAGGTCATATAGGAAATAACCGGCGGCTAGAGCTTGGATCATAGCCGCACCTCCAGTATATCCCCAGACGCGCTCTTGCAAATCCATATTCTTGCGCTCCTCGTCGACGAACATAACCCATAGTGCAAGAATGTTGATGGTGGTGCTCTGGACGAAGGAGACGACGTGGACGTCCCAACTCAGCTTCTTGCTCCTGGAGAGGGCCGTATATTTGGTAGGGAAAATTCGGCTCGATAGGATGGGCGAGACGACTTTGCCGATGAAGAAATAGACAGAAGCCATTAAGATGACCTCATGAATATGCAACGGCAACGTCGGTAACCCGAAGTGGTCTGCCCATGGTCGGACGGCCTCGCTGAGGGCGGGGATAGGGGGAATAGGGAAAGGATCCCTCATGGCTGTTTTCTATCTTTGTTGTCGATATGCTATGCAGGTCAGAAAGATTGAAGATTGAGCCACTATTTTATTCCCAGTTTTTTTTTAAAAAAAAAAAAAAAAAATAATAAAGGGTATAATCGGCCGTAGAAAGGGGGGGGAGGGGGGGGGTGATATTTAAACCCAAGGATGGGTGTAGGTAAAAGAAGGTAATAAATAATATTTAGATGACGAAAGGAGAGGGGGGGAGGTAAGTAGATGGGATATTATAAGCTCTTGAGATTCCTATGAGAATTAATTCAAAAGGAACAAGAAGAAGAAAAGCGTTTAAAAAAAGAAAAGAAAAGAAAAGAAAAGGTGACAAAACAGTGGAAAAGGATTATATCAGTCAGCTGGGTAAACAATTTAGAAGAGGTGAGACAAGAAAAGCCGATGAATGACTTACTTAAAAAGATAACCAAGGTGCATATGACAGTATGACAACAACACGTAGCGTAACTACATGGCACCTGCGAATGTCGAATATTACAGGCGTAGTACGAAATAGTGTTTTGGATGAATGAATATACGGGGCTTTCCTCCCTTTAGCTATCTATGGCCGGCCGGCCTCAACAAAAATTAAAACGGGTAATCGGCCACAAACATTTCGGGGCCGTTGGGTATGGGTACAGGAAGCAGGTACAATACATGGTAGGCATTAGCCGCATGCGCTATAAATCAATATGCACTTAAGAGGTAGTCTCCACTTCCCCATAGGTACCTCCTTTGTACCTAGCTAGGTTTGGTAGGTACCACCTCTACATAGAAACTTTGTAGAAAACAACAATTATTATTATTATTCCCTTTCTCCTTTCCCCTTTCCCCTTTCCCCTTTCCGAGCACGTGGCCAACTGAACGTCACGTCACCATCAGGAAAAGGAAACATGGCTGATTTGTTTCAAGAAATATTAAATCCGCCCAACTCAGCTGACCGTCGTCCGAATGACAAGGCTCAGCCTGACCCTGTCGCCCTCCAGTATCTCTCTACGCTGGCGTCTATGCCACTTTCTCAACTGAACGGGTCCGAACAACAATCTCTAGCTCAATCTTCTCATTCGCTACTGCTTTCATTACAGGCCCTTTCTAAACGCTCTCACAAGTCTATCATCAGCTCAGCAGCCAACCATTCCCACCTCGGCACCGCACTTCCTACTCTAGCAGCCTCGGCTACCGATCTAACAGCTGCTATCCCCAAATTAGATAATGAGGCAGTTCGTTTTTCAACCACTTACCACAAATCCGGAGATAATGAACTGCTTAATGCTCGAAAACGAGCTCTATTGTTGTCGAGGAATGTCGAGCGTTTAGTCGACGTGCTTGATCTCCCTACCTTACTCTCTACCGCCATCTCTACTGGCTCGTCTGCTCCGGCTGCCAATTATGCATCCGCACTGGATCTGAATGGCCACATCCGCCGGCTGCATGGATTATATGCCGGCTCGCCTTTAGTGTCGTCCGTTTCCGCGCAGGCTGACGAAGCTATGCAGGCCATGGCCAAGAACTTGATTATGGGCTTACGCGCACCCGGCCTCAAGCTAGCGTCGGGCCTGAGAACTGTTAGCTGGCTCCGGAGAGTCATACCAGATCTTGATACGACCGGTGCCACCGGCAATGGCGGAGGGCTGGGGGCTTTATTTCTTGTATGCCGTCTGTCGACGCTTATCAACATGCTCGCTGCTTTAGAGCCACTCCGTGAGCTGGCGGAACAAGAAAGGGCACGGCAACGGCAAAACCCAACGGGGAGTGGGTGGTCAGGGGGGCAACAAACCGAGCGATATCTCAAACGGTACATAGAGATATTCAGAGAACAAAGTTTTGCCATCATCTCAATGTTTAGGAGTATATTTCCTACGCATACGAATGAAACGACATTAAAAACAGCCGACGATGACCCTTTGCAACCTGTACCTTCCGCGGCATCAACGTTCTTATTTCACCTTATCGAGATGTTAATGGAGACTCTCCGGGTTTACCTGCCAACCGTTAAAGACCAGCCATCTCGAGACAGCCTATTGACGCAAGTTCTCTATTGCGCCGGGAGTCTTGGACGTCTCGGAGGAGATTTTGGGGTCTTGTTAGCCACGATCGATGTTGGAGAAGAAGCAGAAGACGAATGGGTCGAGGTGGTTAAGCGCCACCGGCTCATGGCGGGCCGTCTAGAATCGATCGTCGGCAGTAAAGATAAAAGCGCCTCAGATCACATTAAAGCATAAACATTCATCTACTAATTCCACTGAGAGACTTTATATCCGACCCGGTACTTCGGTATAGATGATTACGTGTGATCCTATATCTGGGATTTCCCCACTTCCTATCTATCTGTGTTGAGGCAAGGAAACGGAATCCCCGAACACGGAGTTTGAAAGATGGTAGTTTACCAAAACCAAAACCAAAACCAAAGTCAGTCAGAGTCAAAGCAAGCATATGCACGTATCAATATGTGAGTACTTTTTTCTTGTGCTTATGCTATGGCACCCATAAACCTTATTATGTACCTTTTGGAGCCTTTGTTACCTTAGGTACCTAGGTAGGTATTACCCACTTGCCTAGGACCTAGGTCCTCCTAGGTAATTGTACCTACAAGTATGACGTGAAGATTGGTGGGGCTTTGCCAGCCTTAACCCGATTTTTAACGGCGCACTCGAAGTCAGGTACGGTGCCGAAATAATACCACTACCACCTTAATAAGATGAGAATTCAGTCTAGTAAATCCTACTTTTAATCCTGTGCTATGCCGGACAATTGAGAATTCGGATCGAGAGGGAAGAGTAATATAGAACTTCTAAACAGATGGGCTTGCAATAAGTCGAATCCTCCGTCTTGGTAGGATTCATCCGCTCATTTTCTCTGTTTGCTTCGCCATGTCGCAGAACACGGGCAGAAGCAAGTCTTCGCCAAGTAAGCAAACAAACAATAATCTCAATCTTTCAATTATACAGCCTTGCGCGCGAGGAAGCTGACGGACTTCCGGTATAGCCTTCCATTTCGTTGCCGGCCTCGGTTCTGGCACGTTGAGCGCTGTACTTCTACAGCCGTTCGATCTTCTCAAGACACGCGTGCAGCAGTCTGGTTCACATTCGATCAGAGCCGCTATAAGGGACATTGCCAAGTCTCCAAATGCATTGACTGCCTTTTGGAGGGGCACCGTACCCTCAGCCCTACGAACGGGCGTCGGGTCGGCCATCTACTTTACCACCCTGAACATGATTCGGCAGCGTGCAACCGCCTTGCCATTTGCTACGGTTCCTGTTATTGATAAGCACGGGTCTTCTTCTTCGCTACCGAAGCTTTCCAATACCGCCAACATGTTATCCGGAGCCGTCGCTCGAGCTTTTGCAGGCTTCATTCTGATGCCCCTGACCGTCATCAAGGTACGGTATGAGTCAAACTTTTATTCGTATAAGTCCATTGCCGGCGCTGCCAGGGATATATACAGAACAGAGCGTATCCCGGGATTCTTCGCCGGCTTTGGCGCTACCGCCCTTCGAGACGCTCCATATGCTGGACTCTACGTTCTTTCGTATGAGCAATTCAAAAAGCGACTCAGCGCCTGGCTTTATGTGAGCCCAGCTATTACTCACGGACAGACCCGCTCGGGGATGGGAAGTTCTTTATCTGCTACTATAAATTTCAGCTCCGGAGCACTGGCTGGTGCGACGTGTTCTTTTATATCAAATCCATTCGATGCTGTCAAGACGCGCATACAGTTGCAGCCCCGCCAGTACCGTAACATGATTCAAGCGTGCCGCAAAATGGTTACGGAGGAGGGTGTGCGATCACTCTATGACGGTCTCGCTCTACGTATGACGCGTAAAGCGATAAGTTCCGCGTTAGCTTGGATGGTGTACGAGGAGTTAATTCGGAGAGCAGAGACTACGCTATATTCAAGAGATGCGAAAGGGCATGTATAATATGCCAAGCCGTCCGCTTTTTTTTAAAAAAAAAAAAAAAAAAATAGAATCATCTCCAGATGTGAAGAAAAAGAAAACAAATCCCCCCTCATGAAACCAGTTCGTATATCGGAGATTTGCTTGACATGAACCTCTCTTTACTTAAAATTGGGTATATATATATCCTTGCTTATGGTTGTTTCTGCCTGCCCATACTACCTTCACCTCGCCTCACCTCGCCTCTCAACATAAGGAAAGGGCATAATTTCGTTCTTTAGTTGCAATCTACCGTCGTTATCTTCGTCATAAAGAGGCTAACTACATCATGCTGGTCGTCCGCCGGCTAGATACATAAGCAACGAGGGGGATCGGCTTCGTCTACGCTCCTTTTTGCGAACCCATTCGAATTCGGGCTCCAGGTGGTGGTGGTGGTGGCGATGCTTCTTGCCTTCTTCGATACTCACTGCAGATGTTGCGGTTAGCATGTCTTATCCCACCTTAAGGGGGGAATACGTATGAGAAAAGAGATATACTTACAAACGAGCTTTCCTGAGCTAGAGCTGGAACGCTTCTCCCGGATGACCTTGGTATGTCTCCAAAGCACGTCTTGCTCTGGCTCTGCTACCCAACGCTTAATCAGGACATACTCGGGATCCTATATTACAAGGTTAGAGAAGATCGACAAGACATAGTAAAGGGCGAAGTATATATGCTACTTACTGCGTCAACCTGATAGTCGATGTTGAAAGCCCTTAGGGTCTCGAGCGAAAGATGTCGCCTCGCCATGCGCGTGTAGATTGGTCTTTCTTCCTCTTTCTTCTTCTCGTCCTTTTCCCTTTCCTTCTCTTTTTCCTTCTCTTTTTCCTTCTCTTTTTCCTTCTCTTTTTCCTTCTCTTTTTCCTTCTCTTTTTTCTCCTTCTCGCGCTTAATCTTCTCGCCGGCAAGGATGGCGTTGATCTCCTTCTCATCGAGACCCGACTTGAGTAAGTGTTCCTGCATCTTAGCCCTATACTCCTTCTCACGCTGCTCTGCTTCCTGCTTCTCGCGGAGTTTGCGCTCGGCCTCTTCGCGCTTGTACTTATCAATGATCTCTTTGGCCTCCTTCTCACGGCGCCGCTTCTCCTCGAGCGCGGCTTCTTCTGCCTTCATACGTTCGTACTCCAGCTTCTGCTTCACGCGCTGTTCGTACTCGTCGTTCTCTTTGGCCTTGCGAATGGCATCGAGTTCCCTCTTGGCGTCGCGCAGATCCCGCTCTTCTTGCATTGTCCGATTTCGCCGCTGCTCTTCCTGTTCGATCTGCTTGGCCAACTTCAACTCCTGCAGCTCCTTATGCGTGCGCTCCAACTCGTACTCTCGTCGCTTGTTCTCGATATCCTTTTCATACTCCCGCCGCCGCATCTCAATCTCCTTCTCGTAGTCTATGCGCACGTGCTCTAGAGCGTAAGCGTCCCGCTCGCGTTGGAGCTCTAGCTCATGCTGAAGTTCTAGCTCACGCTCGCGCCCGCGCTCCCGGGAGTGGCTCGAGGAGACGCGGGAGTGGGAGCGATGGCGACGGTTGTGAGACCGGGATCTCTTGTAGTCGTCATCAGAGTCGGAGTAAGATAGCGATTCCGAGTCCGAGTTGTTGTAAATGCGGTTGTTAATAATGACCGGAGTGGGGGGGGCCTGAGGCGCACTGCTCCCAGGTGAGCCTGGGCGGCGATCCCGCGAGACAGAACGCCGGGTAGTGACCAAGGTACGCTCATTTGCTGGGTTTAAAAAACGATCGTCAACTCGCGTCCCGGTCTCGTAGAACCGAGGACGAGACCGGGAGGGTGCCTCCACATAATGCGCAAGGGTAGGCGGGCCCGGCGGGCGTGGAGAAGAAGAGGCATGGCGATGTCTCACACGGATATCGAGGTCCGAGTCCTCATCGGAATAGGAATTGTACCTACTCATCTCGGATTGGTCTTAACAGAGAAAGATAAGTCCGAGACAAAAATAAGTACGGGGAAACAGTTTATAGGAAGCTTGTTGGAGAGGGAAGATGGGTAAAAGAGAAAAAAAAAAGGAAGAAAAAAAGAAGAAGAAAAGAAGAAGAAGAAATAAGATAAGAGAGATTCAAGTAAGAACCACTCACTACCTTGGGCAAGCTTACCTAAGGGCTTAATACGCTTATACGGCTTATACCCACCCTACTGGTAGCAAGCGAAGGCGGGGGGGAAGGGGAAACGGTCTTTCAATTTATCGTTGTTAGTTATTACTATATTGGGTTACTTTTTCAAGGTGCCACAGGTTGTTCTTGCCAAGGAGTACCATAATACTATGGCAACAAACATTGATACCCACCTGAGGTGGTACAGCTAGGTCGATTATGGCTGCATGCTGCTGACGAATGTTACTGCTGTTGTATATTATAAAGTACCTCCTAATGCCTTTCGCATACGGCTAAGCGGCACTCGTCAAGTATAGAATATAGAATAGTATTAGATTAGTACTTGTCGGAGCTGCAACTTCCTACCTCGGGTCTAATGCGCTGTACTTTGTTCAAAAGGGTATATAGCGTACCTTCCGTCATAAGCTAAGTACCTCTAGCGACGAATATACCTTGGGGGCGGAAACGGATTCGAGCGATAATTCGTGGATTGTTGGAAGGGTATTAGGTATAAGTGGCCAGCTAATGATGTGTTTTACAGTCCCTTGTCCGAGGGGCTGAGAGTGGAGTCATTCATCATCTGCGCATAACTTCGGAACTTGATTGTTATGCGTAAGCTTAACAAGCATCTTAGGCATATAATGTAGTTAAGTATATTATATACCTATGAAAATTAAATGTTTTATTAATTACATAGATACTTACCTAGGTACCTATATAGATTAGGTACTTTCAAGTTTATAAGAGGTTGTCTTTGCCCAGGTGGTACCTAACTAGGTTGGTTGGACTATTAATAGAATATAGGGCTAGAAATTGTCTTGTACCGAGGTTCAGGTATTACATAGGTCCATATGCATTGTACATGTAGCATACCTAGGTAGTTATGTACTGTACCTTCGCGGTTGTTGCTTTTTAAGACAGTTATACTACTTACCGGGTACCTACCAAGTACCTAGGTAGGTATCTAAGGTATAGGTAAGGAACGGCATGGCGTATAGTAGGCACCTACCTAACCCGCCACGCCAACATACCTAGGTATCTAATATCATTTGTTTCCAATACCAGCAGCATACCTAAGTGTAGTGTAATCATCAGAGTGTCCCACAAGTAGCCGCTCTGCTGCTTTGGTATTCAGCTAAGATACATACTCTATCAGTATCTACCTAGGTACTAACTAGGTATGTACTGTATGTACTGTATTCGGTGAACAGCCTCCGGCTAAGCTGGCTAAGGCGACAGTGAGCCGAGTCTGATTGATGCCAAACGTCATCCTCCACGTCCACATCCCGCAGCGCCCACCAGTGTTCCGTGTCGCGTGATCGGTAGGCCTCCGTGTAGCCAGCGCAGACTTAAACCCGTCGACTCAACGTTCGCCTAAATCTAAGATGCTCCCACACCGCCCCTTAGCATGCGGTCTATCTGGTCCTTACTATTCTTCTGCGAAACCTCGAGGTAGTGTAACCTCTTCCCGAGCCCGTCCACTTCGCCCTCTACTTCTTTGATTTGGCTTTCCAGTTTGCCCTTCATCTCGGCAGCGGGCATAGCCACAAACCTGTCTGGTAGTTAGCTATCGGTCACGCCGCTACGGCGGGGGGAGTGGGGGAGAGGGAAAGAGGAGGAGGGGATGATCTGACATCTTTCCGACGCCCTCGTAGACGTTGGTACCTGCCGGCAACGAGGATATCTCGCTGCGGGTAAGCTGCGCCATTCGTAATTCCCGCTGCTTAGATGCTTGCTGCGTTCTGACGAGGGAGATCTGCTGCTGCGCTGCGATTGCCTGCGTCTCGACTTCCCGCAATAGCTATATACGGTCGCAAGTTTTGTAAGTGGTTGTCGTCCGGTCGTGAATTATCCAGATGTCATACCTTCTGTAGTGCCTCATTTGAGATGGACATCGTCGTATAATTTTTTTTTTTTTTCCCCTTTCTTGGCCTACTCTCGATGCACTCTGGAGCCTTGGGTGGACGGTGTACTTTTTTATATATAAAGCTCGTCGGGTTCAATTACGATGGGTGTTCGCATTACCTAAGATGCATGTAAGGTAAGTAAGCAGGTAAGGTAGTGTCAGACAAGAGAAGACTTCGATTGAGATGTCACTGCATTGGCACATGGATAGGTACATACATTGCTAATGTGTACCTAGGTATGCATGTACACACCTATACCTAAGTACCAGGTAAGTAGGTCTAAAATGGTGGAGTTATACATAATCCGACAACTCGATTTTACAGTTGATCATGGATGTCACTACGGTACCTAACCTACCTCTTGTAACAGTTACATAGTACAACCCCATATAATCAACTCATTATACATTCATTTAGATAATCTATTAAAGTTCTAGTCTAGCCCAAATGTAGCGTAGGCTCTAATATCAATAAACGCCAAATGGATATGCTATCTATCCTCTGCTCGCGTACGCTTATTATAACATGGTTTTTCGCTACCATCTATTGCTAAGTAAGTAACGTTTCGGAGTTGCATAGTCCTTGAAATAGGCAATATAAGAGCAGGACGTACTCTAACCATCTATCGAATTTGGCGCTTTCTTCTTCTTCTTTTCTTTCTTTTTTTCTCTCTCTCTCTTCATTGCCTTTTCTTATCCGGTATGTCGTCTATGGCGACTACTTCTGGCATCCGGAGGATGTATGGCCAAGCGAGTCGAAATTTATCTTCGTCGCCGTCTAAGCATCGGTGGACCCAAATACGCCAGACGATGTAAAAATATGCTAAACAAAGGTAGTAAGTCAGCCGTGTTAGTAGGTGTTAATACTATCGTAGACATTTTACTTACCACCTATTCCGGTCACTGCGGCAGATCGAGTGTTAGCAACCAAGTTCGGCCTAAGGATTTAAGTAATGAAGATGGTAGAAGGCCACTTACTGAGATGCCACCAAGCATGCCCTTCAAGCACGACAGCCCAGGGAAGCTGGAGTTGATGCCGCCACTTGCGAATAGTATTGCAGTACATATTATCCAAGTTCCAGATAAGATAACCGCCGAGGAATACGCTGAGCCCTATGAAAAGAGAACAAATTGTTAAACATGATTGCCAATCAAGTTAACGTCGGTGGCTTACCTGTCGCAACCATGACCCACATCTCCCTGATCGTCTCATTGGCCGTCGGGAGCCTCGGAGCGCGAGCTTCTCGTTTTCTACTCTCTTCTCTCACCTTCAGCGCCGGACGGAGTGTCCGCTCCATAATCCATATATTCGAGAATACCACCGTAGCTGTCAAAACCGCGTAGGCATCCTGGTGGAACTGGGGATCCTTGGTTTTGTAGTACCTTGCCTAGCAATGCCATCTATTGTTAGCATGCGCAGCGGTTCGATGGAAAAGGACAAGGAGTGGACGAACAGTGATAAACCACGCAAGCCAGAGGAGGCCTGTGCCAAGGAAGGCAGAGAAGCGAAGAGACCTGCCATAAGTGAACGTAGCGAAGCACATGAAACAAGTCGTATATATCATAGCGAGCTCGTCCACAAGTTGCATGGGGTCTATCAAGTGTTAGAGAGCTGCAATCCAGATATCGAGAGATTTGGGGCATGGCATCGTGAGTTGAGCGCGAGCTTACACTTGAGAGAAGCGTGAAAAAAGGTAGACCCTAGGCCCACCACCATGTATCCAGCAAATGTGACAATGAAAATGGCAGGGTGTGAATATTTGATGCACCCTCGGATGCCCTTATAGCCCAGCAACACGAAGAGAACATTGGTGAGGGTCTAAACGTGACAAGTCGTGCATAATATATTAGTCTCTGAATCGCCGCATTCTCATAGCGTGCATGCTGAGCTCGAGGGGAGCGAAGATAGGAATTCAGAAGTGAGAGGGGGGAGGTGGTAAAAGGGCAACCTGATGAGGAAAGTGGAAGCCTACATTGCAGACTTCGGCACAGTAGTAGCTCATGACATAGTCCTAAACATCAACATTCAGCTATGTCCTCTCATTCGGTAAGAATGATCTACGTGTTGCATTGTATTTACCTCCTCGCAAAAGTTCAAGGTGGACGTTTTCTCGCCCCAGAAGCCGTGCCGAGGTTCATGGTACGGGAAGCTCAAGGCCTCAATGAGGCTCTGCACAGGCATATTTCGAGGTAAGTTGAAGCAACCGGCTTATAACATGAAGTGTACGTAGCCTTTAGGGGTCCGGTTCGTCCTTATTATATAAAACAAAGTCTGCTGAGTAGTCGGGTATCTAGATTTGTCTCCGTTAAGCTTGCTGGAGTAAGCGTATAGGAACAATGAAGAAAAAAAAAAATAAATAAATATGGAATGGCAGTTTTGTGTTAATCAATAAGCCGCGTAGTTGTTGAAGGAGTGTTTCCGGCACTCCGGTAAAGAATCTAATAAGTAGTGTCGAACCACTTACATCCTGCCGAACCTTACAAGTTACGCCTACCTATGTACCTTACCTTTCCTTACGTAGGTACACATATAGGTACTGACCTTTTTGCAGTATAGCTCATTACCTATTACGGCAAATGCAGGATCAATCTAGAATAGAAGAAAAAAAAAAAAGAAAAAACATGTGAGAAGGTATAAAGTATTTAATTTAACAGGTAACTAGGTAACTTTTAAGGAAAGGTCCTCGGGAAACCCCCTGCTTTATATCGATTATCGCAAGTACTGATTGAGGTGGGTACATGTATGTATTAAAATGGTGATATGCAGTCTAACGAATCAACGTATCGAAACCATTTTTTACTAGCTATGTTTCTAAGTGATGACGCCTTGGGCGCTTTCTCTTAACAGGACGATCCTCTCTAACTTTGTGGTACTGGCTGACATCTTCTATGCTCTAGCCATTTGAAACAAACTTTGGTTTTCGTCTGCCTTAGATACCTACCTGTAGTTATTCCCATAATAATTCATAGCTGCCAAGCTTCCAACCCGCAGAATCCTTTCCACTCTATCTAGAAACTCTTGCGCCAAAGCAACACCTCGTATTCTTATACGGCAGCCTATCCGGCGACTTATACCAAGCCATCACCATCTTACGATCCGCCTATTTTGTTGTTGATATTGTTGTTCTTTTTTTTTTTTTTTTCTTCCTTAGTCGGCAAAGAGGAACAAATGCGAAAATACTTGGAATCCTACAAATTCTACTCTTCGTAGAACAGTAGGACAGACCTGAGTCTCATCATTTCGTCGCCGTGACACGTCAGCAATCAGCGCATATCGCCCTGTACAATGCGACGGCTTCCTCTCCGGAATTGCTTGGAAGAACGAACTACGTGCGACATAACCACTCGTCCAAAACCCTCGTCCTAGTTGTAGTGCGGGCTCGAGAGCCTCAGACATGTCAGCTCCCCAGAAGTCCTCAAGATGGGGCTCCTTTTTGTCCCAGGCTGTCGCTGGAGTAGAAGCCCGTCTTGACAATATACTTGCCGAAGAGGATTCGACAAAGCAGTCACCGCCGCAACGGCCGATTAAAACACCATCGGCGTCTTCTAATACTACAACAACCACTGCTCCACCTAGGTCTACTACACCTTCCCGATCCTCTAACGACCGATTGCAAGAACGGCTAGCTCGAGCTGTCGCCGCAAGGAATGCCGCTCAGAACTCCGATGCTTCGCCCGCTAGATTAAGTACCGAATCAGCTCCACCGACTCAAAGTCCCCGTACCAGCACCGACGCTCCCCCCGCAAATACTGTAGTACAGTCCCCACTAAGTACCGACAAGATTGAAACAATCGAGGATGATGAGATCGACAAAGCGCCAGCTACGTCTACGGCAGGCGACGGGGATTCTGCAAGCCCGTCAACCCCGGCAGTTGATGGGCAAGCCACTGAAGCTAAATTACAGGCAGCGACGTCACAACCTGATGACGAAGTTCAGGATGATGAAAACCCTGAGCCATCCACAGAGGGTGAGGTCGGACTTCTAGAGACGGGAAGCAGAGCGGGTTCTTCAGCCTTATATGAACAGCGCATTGCTGATCTAGAAAAAGCATTAGAAGAGGCCAATGCACAACATCAGGAAGAGCTCCATAGTCATGTGGAGAGGGTTGACGCTCTACAGGCCAAACTTCAATATTTAGCCCGGCAAGCATCAGAGGCTGCGAGGACTGCTGCCGCTGCGGCGCCGGCAGGTAGCGCAGACAAGAAAGATGCGGAGAAGGACCAGCAGATTGCTCAGTTAATGGAGGAAGGCCAAAAACTGGCGAGTACGGAACAGAAGCATAGGAGCATAATCAAGAAGTTGAGAGGCCAACTCGCCGTGGTCGAGAAAGAGCTCAACGAACAGAAACTTTGGCGCCAAAAAACGGAGGCGGACCTTAGTGCTCTACGAAAAAAATTACAGGACCAAGGCGATGTCGAGAAAGCGAACGCAGAATTACAGAAGCAAATCAGCCAACTGAGAAAAGACCTCGAATCTCTAAGGGCTGAGAACTCTTCGAAAGATAGTACGATATCTGGGCTCAAGGATCGGCTTCAAGAGGAATCTGATCGATCCAAGACCTTGGCCGCTAAGGTGAACGACCAGCTACGAGAGGCGGGGGAGAAACACGTGAAAGAATTAGAGGAGGCGGTTGCGACGCTACAGGTAGAGAAGAACTTAGTAGCCGATCGTGCAAAGTTACAAGCGACTGAGTTACAAGAAAAGGCCGACAGGGCCGCGGAGCGGTGTCGTGCCGTGGAATTGGAGCTCAAGGGCGAAGTCCAGATCCTCGAAAGCAAATTGGAGGCTCTTCGAATTCGGGCAGAGGAGGCATCAACAGGCGCTGTAGGAGATGCGCAGGCAAAACTACTCCGCCAGATAGAGACTCTTCAGACGCAATATTCTATTGCCAGCGAAAATTGGCAGGGTATAGAAGCGTCTTTAATCGCAAAGGCCGCAGCGCTGGAGAAGGAGAGAGATGAGGCTTTACGACGTGAATCAGAAATGAGGCGGAAAGCACGCGAGACGGTAGGTGATGTGTACTCTTCGGATCAAATGCAGACACTAATGCTTAGGACCAGGCCTCCCGAGCTAAACGTCAAGAAGAAGAGTTGGAGGAGGCAAGAAACCAACTACCCAGCGTACAGCAAGACCTCTCCTCACACCGGTCGGAGATCGAAACTCTGCGGAAGCGAGCCGAGGAGGCAGAAGCAGCGCTAGCTGAAGCGAAGTCTGATTTCGAGCGGCAGCGGCTAGCTTGTAAAGAGGAAAAGGCGGAGCGGACAGATACAGATCGACGAACCTGGCTGGAAGATGTGCCGACTGCTCCCTTCCGCAATACTAGTCGCCCAGAATCTCCCCTATTAACGGCACCACAAAGAACTTATAGCGGGGATTTCCTGGGGCTACAAAGCTACCCAACAAGACTGCGCAAGACCTCGGCACCCTCTAGTAATGGCGATCCGAGTCCTGGGGATAGACCCGGATCGGCAAGGCGGCCATCGGGGCTACCTCCCATTAGATCGCCCTTGTTCCCCTTCCCATCAGTGCAGTCGTCAGGGAAGCCGCCATCCCTATCTGGCGGCTTAGAGATATTAGCTTCCCCGCCTACTCAACCCATCGATAGGGACGATATTTTCGAGAACGAAACTCCAGCGTCTCCTCAAAACGTACTGCAGGATGTGATGTCAGTATCTACCATGACAGCGGGACCCTCGGTACAGCTGGTCGAGAGAATGAGCGCTGTAGTTCGTCGATTAGAAAGCGAAAAGGTAGCAGCTAAGGAAGAGCTTGCTAGGATTTCCAGCCAGCGGGACGAGGCTCGCGGAGAAATCGTTCTGCTAATGAAGGAGCTCGAGGCCGAAAGGGGTGCCAAGAAGAAGGCGGAAGAATTGGAGAAAGAAGTGGCAGTGATCAACGAGCGATACCAAACTACGCTAGAGATGCTCGGAGAAAAGAGCGAGCTAGTAGAAGAGTTGCGTGCGGATGTAGACGATGTCAAAGCCATGTATAGGGACCTCGTAGAACGCACAATAAAATAAGGAGGCGGTGAGCCGTCTGAGTCTTAAATTAAGTCACAAGTTGAATCTCTTGGGGGATAGTATGAGTACCATACTCGTCTAATAATAAAATGGGCAACACTCGTAGGACGGACTAATTTATAGGTCGATTCCCTCATTTTCAGCTGCGCGCTCAATGTATTTGCGAACCTCCTTGTCGGGTGCAAGGTCTAATGCGAGGTATCCGTCTGAATCTCGCTTGTCGAATTCGGCGCCGGCCTTGAGTAAGGCGACCGCCGTATCTCCTATTTATTGTTAGGTGTGCCATGATCGTAATGGTTTAGTGTTGATAGCGGGTTGTAGTATATAACTAACTACCTAGGTAGGTAGGTACTTACCGTGGCCCTCGGCAACAGCATGGTGTAAAGCCGTGTACCCTGAGTTGTCGGTAGCATTTAGTGGGCTGTTCTTTTCCAACAGTAACTTAACCATGGGCACGGATCCAACAGCAGCCGCCCGATGAAGCGGATATTGGCCTTGCTTGTCCCTGACTCTCGTGGAGGCAGGGGGCTTGTGATTTAGGAGCTTACGAGCTACCTCAAGGTTGCCTTTGGAAGCAACAAAGTGAAGAGCTGTCTGTGGCGGTAATATATTAATAGCCTGTTCCTAGCTTCCTTTTGGTACATCAGCTTGATATTAACTTGGTAAACGGACCTGTCCATTATGGTCTGCCAGAGTCAGCTTCGGAAAAAGATAGATCTGAAAATCAGGTTGTACAGTGCACTCACTCTTCTGGTTTACATCAGCGCCTCTCGAGAGTACGAGATCGACGATTGCGTCACCGTCTTTCACGCTTGCTGCAATCATTAACGGGGTCCAGCCACTATCGTCCTTGGGCGTTGTTAATCATACGAAGCTTAGTGTGCGGGAGTTATATCTACTGAAGCGGTTGTTACTCACTTCGACGTCTGGATCGAAGTCCTTCTGCTGGGCTAACATCAGCACTATGGGTAGGTTGTTTGCAGAAGCGGCCCAGTGAACAGGAAGGCGGCCATCGCCATCCTTGAGACGGGCTAATTTTGGGTCTGCCTGTTAAATATCTTAGATTGCCAAAATTTGATAGAACAGGCAGGTTACTCCATGACATGGAGCTTACGTTTAGTAAGGACTCGACGACAGTTACTACAAATGAAGTTAGGTATCAAACAACTTATAGAGAATAATCTGGGAACAATGTGAGAAAGGATGGTGAAGATCTACCTTTTCCTTCTCGAGCTGCTGCATGAATAGCATACTTTGACTGGTCAGAATCCATATGGGACAATATCTTTTTAGGTAGCTAAATGTGTGGTTTTGACGTTACGAGGGAAAGTTTTGGGGGACGGGCTCTTGTAAATTTACAAGTTGTAAGCTGCAAGTTGCAAGTAGAATGACCTCAATGAAGTAACTACAGGTCCAGGTATGTACATACCTACCTACCTATGTACCTGTTATAACCCGTCAAAGTTATACCTAGGTACTTACCTAAATCATCCTATGTTAGGTACCTGGTATGAGACTGGACATGTCGGAAACAGCAGATATTCTTAAAACAAAGGTAGTGTTCAATCAAATATTCAACTAGTGAGATTCACAGTGTATGATCTGACAATCCAGCATTTACCTTATCGATAGTGCTTGTCACCAATGCATTAATCTAAACATTTACTTACCTACCTAGGTACCTAACTATTCGTATTTGCTCTAATTAACCTTTCGCCATTCATTCACATCAACATCAACATCATCATCATCATCATCATCATCATCGCCGCGGGCTTAATAGCTCGATCTAACAATCATATAATTACTAACACTCCATTGCTGGCGAACGCCATGGAGGTCGCTAAACCCGATCTCAAATCTCTCGTACTGGAGAATGCTCGACGCTCGAAATCGCTTTTTGCAGATCCATCGTCCGGCGAGTCGGCGCGGAAGAAAATTAAGCTAACTGATGACGCGCTCGAACCTCAACGCGAGAAAAACGCTCTATCTGTTCGCCTCCACGCCGAGTACCAATATGTTAGAGAATTACCCCCTGCCCTCGCGCAAAAGCAAACGAGCGCCATGAGCGCCAGGAAAAAGGGCAAGAGACCAGCCGCGAACGAGCCCCCAGTCGCACCAGAGGATCAGAAGACCCAGAAGCTGATCGAGGGCATCGTACAATCCTCCTCCCCCGGTACTAATAAGCTCCCATCAAACTCCAACGCTCTAGTACATTTACAAAAGCCTCCTCGACCTACTTCAAATACGTCGACATCCCAGTCCCTAAGCATCGCCCGAGCGCAGGCTACGCATCAACCCAAGCCCGACTGGCATCCCCCATGGAAGCTCATGAGAGTCATCTCGGGCCACCTAGGTTGGGTGCGCGCCTTGGCCGTCGAGCCACACAACCAATGGTTCGCTAGCGGTGCCGGCGACCGCACCATCAAGATTTGGGACTTGGCAACAGGAAACTTGAGACTAACTCTAACTGGCCATATTTCTACGGTGCGAGGTCTCGCGGTGTCTCCTCGACACCCCTATCTGTTTTCCTGTGGCGAGGACAAGATGGTGAAATGTTGGGATCTGGAGACGAACAAGGTGATCAGACATTACCACGGCCACCTGAGCGGTGTGTACACCCTATCGCTTCATCCTACTTTAGATGTCCTAGTTACCGGTGGCCGAGACGGCGTGGCTCGAGTCTGGGACATGCGCACGCGCAGCAATATCCACGTGCTATCCGGTCACAAGGGCACCGTTGCAGACGTCAAGTGTCAAGAAGCTGACCCGCAAGTCATCTCCGCCTCTCTCGACTCTACCGTGCGCCTATGGGACCTCGCCGCGGGCAAGACCATGGGCGTCCTCACCCACCACAAGAAGGGCGTTCGCGCCTTGGCCGTGCATCCCACCGAGTTCACTTTCGCCACTGGGAGTACCAATAGCATCAAGCAGTGGAAATGTCCCGAGGGCGCTTTCATGGGCAATTTTGAGGGACACAACGCCATCATCAATTCCCTCGCCGTTAATGAGGACGTCTTGTTTTCCGGCGGTGATAACGGGTCCATGAGTTTCTGGGACTGGAAGACGGGCCACAGATTCCAGGCCCTCGATTCTATTGCCCAGCCGGGTTCCCTGGACGCCGAGGCGGGTATCATGAGCTCTACGTTCGACCGGACGGGCCTGCGTCTTATTGTCGGCGAGGCGGATAAAACGATCAAGATATGGAAGCCGGATGAGAAAGCGACGCCTGAGACGCATCCGCTAGAGTGGAAACCAACGCTGGGGAGGCAAAAGTATTAATCAGGAGGAAAAATCGCGTAATTATCTCGTATTGTCAGCACTTAGAAGGCGTTTTTTTAAGTATAGACAGATATCTTACGCTATGAAGGACGGAAACAGATGATAATTATTAGGGGTATTAAGGTCGTAAATCTTGGTTTTGGTACTATCTGTACATTAGAATGCTATACCCAGCGCCCGAATCTCAGGGTCGTCTCGAAATGCAAGCTTGATCTCTTCATCGCCTACAGCAAGCCTAATCTTGCTTGGTCGCTCGGCCCTCTGGCCTTCCAGGATAATAATCCCAGCCCCTGTGAGGTCGACGGCAGCCGTACTAATTCCTGCCGGCCTGTGAAGAAGCCCTTGCTCTTTCTTTCGTGTTCCTATATCCGTCTTGGCATCTTTATCTACCGAATGTCTTAGTAGACCAACTCGACGGCTTCCCGCGTCTAGTACGAGAGCGCGATTCATCTCTTCCATTACGTCGCCGTAAGTACTATCTGGCAAGCCCGTCCGCTCATTTCTCACTAGGAGAGACGCTAGGATCAACTTAGAAGCAAACGGTAGTGCTCGTAAATATTGCTGTAGAGGACTGGATGTCGCTTCGTTAATGGCTCGCTTTACAGTCGCTATGGTGACCTTACCCCTAGAACTTTTTGACTTATCCGCTTCGCCCGTCTTCGCCTTCGCCCGCTTACTCGGGGTTCCTGGGTCAGGTTCCGAGCCCTTAACATCAGCTTCAGCCAGTTCTACCGCTCGCCGACATATATCGAGAGCGCGCCGTGCATCACCACTCACAGCAGCGACTTTACGGCTGGCGAACTGGACAGCATCCGGTTCGACAATGTTTCCCGGAACACCCTCAAGTCGCGACTGGATAATCTTCATGAGCTGTTCGTGATTATAGCCTGGGAATGTAATGCGCGTCAGTCCCAGGCGACTGCTAATTTTATTGCTAAGTGTTCTTTCCGGCAGGTCCATCGTGTTAGCCACTGCAAGCACAATAAGTCGCGAGTGTCTCAACCCAGGCCAGTTAAAGAAATTATACATGACGCTTTGGTTCTTCGTAACCAGTTGGTCGAGTTCATCCATCAGGACAACACAGGGAATCCGTCGAGGGCTCGGATTGTTGAACTCTCTCTCAAGAAGATCTAGTGCCTGGCTCGGGCTAACTCGCTGTCCCTTCAGAGCTTCCCAGAGAAGGGAGTATGACTGGTGCGGATCGGTTATCTTCATACCATTGATCTCAACGAATATGAAGTCATCTAGCTCATCGGATCGTACTGCTTCATCTAGCTTCGATACCACCTCTCGTACCGTAGCCGTCTTCCCTGTTCCTGGTGTACCAGATATATATATGCAAGCACCAGAGCCATCAGTAATAGCAGCCTCGAGGTGAGAGTATACTAGAGAAAACTCGGACTCTCTACACGGTAAGCTAGTGGGTACCGATGCAACATGCAGTTGAGCCCTTGCAATCTGAAAAGGAGAAGACTGATGGTGGCTTGGAGAAAGAATACGGGTGGCAAGGGGAGTGAATTCCAACGCCTTCTTCACGACGACTCTAGTAGTTTGGGTTAATAAAGATTCATTTTACAAATTTTAGGACTTGGTCAAGCGAGCATCTAAATACTTACCTCCGACTAGATGGTGTCACGACTTGTTTTGTCTTTTGTTTCTTTCTCGGCGTAGTGACAGCTCGAGTTGCGTCGTTATCAGAGGCGTAATCCTCGTCTCCCTCTGGCTGAGTAGCCACAAAATCTGTTTCCAAGGTAGAGATATCACGAGTGCGCCGCTTTCTTGTTGACCTCGTTCCGCTTCGTACCAATTCGAGCAGATCTTCCACATCTCCTTCTCTACCAGAATAGACATCCTCCCATACGAACTCCTCCGTATAGGTCGCGGTCCTCGTATTACATCCTCTCCTACAGATGAAGGTCTTGTTGTAGACTGCTGAGCTACGGGGAATCTTTCCACTGGGATATTCCTGTTGAAACTTCCGTTGGGACATTACCACGGCTCTGCCATTGATGGAGGCTAGCGGATTTACGTCAGAAGATGGCGTGATGTACAGTTCATTCTAATTCACGTATGTTAGTAAGGGAAGCAAGGGTTTATATGCGTTAATAGCAAATGCTAACCGGTAGGAAATCGGTTCTCTTCCGGTCGCTATTCCGAATCTCTTTCTCTGTAGAAAACCACAGGAAATTAGCAGCCTTGTCTCCATTCTCATCAGCCTCGCGAAATTCGGCAACTATAGCAACCCAGGCCTCATTGGAGCCTTCGGCCTTCAAGAGAACACAGTCACCAACGTAACATTCAAAGGCACCCATGCGGGCGCCCACGATGCTATGATGGGCATTTCTTTTCCTCTTAGTAGGCGATACAGATGATTCGGATTCCCGGTAAATCCATTCCCAGGGGTAGTCATCAACGCCTAGTTCATCATCCGAATCATCTCTGGCAACCCCCTTTATGACGTTGGAAGAGCGGCGAACCATTCTAGAAGGGCCAATTGAATGGAGATGCGAATGCTAGATTAGGTATTAAGGGTTTAATGTTTGAGGTTTGTCAAATAAATCTCGATTGTTGAATTAGGCAGCTGCTTAGGTAGTGAGTATAGACACATAAAAGAATGAAATAAAGGTTGGGGGGTACTCCAGTAAGTGGATGGACGATAGGCGGACAGGGGTAAGTTGCAGATGGAACTTTACAGAGGGACGCGGTTTCTTGTGTAAGGCGCGTTCGCGTTATCACGTGACGGTAGTTACCTACCATAGTAGTTAAATTGATTCTCAGGGGGGTAAGTAGGGACTTGATATGCCAACCATGCCATATCCATGAAGAAAAAGCCATTAAAAAAAAAAAAAAAGAATAGATCTGCTAAATTATTTTGTCCTTTGAATTTCTTTGAATTTTACATGTAATTGTAGTCTAGCTTACGTATTATGAAATGGCTTTTTTTCTGCTTTATACACCAAGAAGATGGATACTTTCGCTTGTCACGGCGTCATGCAGTAGGTGCAGTAGGTGCAGTTAGATGTTAGGTAGTAGGTGTAGCCGAAAAAAAAACATATATTAGGTATTCCGTACACACCTACCTCCTACCTAGGTAGGTACCTAAATGCAAACACATGAGTGCAGGTCGCCGCTGCCTCCTTATAAAGGTGTAGCAATTCAAACCTGTCCGTCCTAATGCAGTTTCAGTCTCGTATGTTATAAACTCACAGCGTCATATATCCCTCCCTTTCATCGTTCCCTACATTTGCATTGAGAAACTTTACACTCTGACTAATAGCATCGCCGGCCAGGCTGGCAACTTACGTGACTTGAATTGCATGTGCGCTGAGCTGAAAGTCAAAATGGAATCCTTGATTGACCTGTGCGTGTCTTATCTTGTGCAATTTCCTGTCCCAACCTGTTGCCATGGACTAACTTATGCCTGACATATTCTCAGAACTTCTAGCCTGTCTAATGATGATAACCAAAATTGCAACCCAACATCCTCCATAGACCTGCCCCTTGGGAAAGCGGACAACAGAGAAGCTCCGCTTCAGTACTTACCCTCTGCCCAAAAATCATTCTCTATGCTTTGTCAACCCAAGGCAGCAGGTAAATCCTCCAAAATGGATAATACTAATATATACGCTGCCTCCCAAGCTTCTGGGGCGAACGAGTCTCGTATGAACGCTACCCCTCAGGCGCAGTTCGCGCCCACTGAAGCAACTACCAAAGCAGCTACTAGGCTGGTCACGTCGAGCAACAAGGAAGGCACCCAGTCCACTATCAGTCTTCGCACCGAAGAAAGAGACACGGATAGTATAGAGAATCCCACTGAGAAGAACAAGGTTTGTGACTCTGTCCACAGTTTTCTCTCCTGATGATAATGACAGCTAACACTGTCTTTCTTTTGCATGACTTTAGGCCAATTTCATCATCTCCCACACCCCAGAAGTAGCTGCTGGAGTGATCGAGGCCGTATACAAAGAACTAAGCCGAGTGAGCGACTACAAGGTCGAACTTCGAGAAAGCCCCCAAGGTTCTTTCATATCGATTACTGGCATCGCCAAGAACATCGATGAATACGTCAGATTGGCGCAGGACGTGGCTGACGACTTCATTTTTAACGAGTCCACCGGGGGATCTACTGTTTTCGTAGAGCCACCGCCCCAGATTGACAGCACTACCCAGGTTGTTTTACACATCGACCCGGTTTCGGGCGAAGTACGACCAATGTTACAGCCAGGCCAAGATGCTATTACCAGCTTGCCACACCTGGAAACTCCTGAGGAGTTCAGAGCGAAACTGAGCCAGTACCTCTACAAGTCACTGGTCAAAGCTGGTCGTCTCAAGTTGTCATTAACACTAAGAGTTTACTTGGGTCAGTTCATGTTGCGAAAGTATCCTAAGGGTAAGGGGATATATGGATACAGTGACTTCCATACCATGGTGAAGCATCCCCGTGCCTCTGGGTGGCTGAAGAGTTGGTGAGTACTTCGACTTCTACGGCTTCATAAGCTTGGTCGGTATCACTAAAAGTTGAATAGGGTCGGCAATGAAACACTAGCCCGGAGAGTTCTAGATTTTGTCAGGAACAACACAAAGGGTCCGTTCCAACCCACTGGCAATCAGGCGAACGTGACGGCGGATGTTTTGCCGCAATATGCCCTCGAGATGCGCACTGAGGGCACCAAGTTTGACGTACCGATCAAAAAAAGAACCAGCGGAATGTCAAGAGGTACTGCAGCTTGTCAACTCTATCGCGTAACTTCGAGTACGCTAGGTGCCAATCCAGCCGAGGCTAATATTTATAACTTGAGCCTTGGGAAGTAAGTCTACTGTTAGATAAACGTTTGGTATGGCAAAGAGGTCTGACGTTGCTACCAGGAATCTCGACTGGCAATTGGAAGGTATCGATGAGGACAAGGGTGCAAAGACGTTCCCAGAAGTCACCCAGTACTTAAGATCCGCCAAGGCCGAACTTCTAAACTCGGAGCGACCACACGACCTTAACGTTTACCCTAGCGTGAAGCTAGAACCCCTCATCGCAGTAGAGAACAAAATCAAGTACGTCGCAGTCAAGACCATCTACCACTTTAGATGGAAGTTCACGTCGTACATTGTCGAGGTCGCGATCAACCACCGATGGGACAGCATCCCCGCGATGAGAGCTAAGGCGGTACCCAAGACCGAGCTTGGAATCAGTATCTTTGGAGAAGACTGGGATTCGGAAGACGATGCAATTGGAAACGTCTGGGGCGATGAGTTGCAGTATCTACTTGAAGGCCTCCGAGGTTCAACGGCGCCTAACGGCCGTGACAGAGTGGCCCATTTCTTACAGACAGTTGGTGATATCCGCGATGCTTTGGAGCACCTTTTCTAGCTCGCTCCTTTCAGGTTGATCCCACAAGTTGCGATAGGAAGGATGTATCAAAGCCATCCATACTCGTTGATAGTTTGACGCTGGGAATGTGATGTATAAGAGCTAGGGTCCATGATGGATAGTCTCACAGCTCTTAGCCAATTACGACGGTGCTGCTTGCTGCGCTCCGCCAACCATCTTTTGCCTCAAAACTAATAGTTTCGCACGTCGCATCAGCTAGGAACTTGAATGGAGAGAAACTCCAGAATTGAAACGTATAACTAGGGTTAATAATACCTTCTTCGACAACGCGCACGTTGTTCGTTTTGCCTTGCACGATTGCCTCCAGATCTTTGATACTTGCTCCTAGTTCTCCAACCTTATTCTCGTAAAAGTTCGCCGCCGATTTGATATCCTGTAGGCTCAAGTCAATATCTTCACACCCCCTGTGTCTATACTACGCGTAGTCCTCACCTTCTCGACGTAAAATCCGGTACCGATGTCGACGACGACGTGGGACGCATCCGAGAGAGTCCCACGGACGTAGAGGGAGTTCGTAAGGGGTACGAGGATCGAATTGTTTTCTGCATTGCCTTAGATATCGAGTTCGTATTCTCACATATAGACAAGGCCAAGCCAGACAACAGCTATGGTAGACGTACCCCGTAGAGCGGGCGACTTATTCTTATCCTGGACGCAGCGGAGACATTCGCGAAACTTGGACTGAGCGGCGTGAAGCTGGGTGAAGGACGACGTGAGATGTTCGAGTTCCTCGTCTAGCTGCTTCTTTACTTGGCTGAGCTGCTGGGCGCTCAGGGTGTCGAGGTTGACTGTTGGTTAAGAGAGGGAGGAATTAGTCAATCTCGTCCGGTACGAGTAGCTGAAAGAAGAAAATCAGTAGAGGGGTAGTATGGGCGTACTTGTTTCTCCGTTACCGCTAGCCATCGTGAATTATAAGCTCTGAGGGCCAATTGCTTCTCGAGAGGTGTAGAAGTTATTAAGGTACCTAGGTAGGTTCAGGACGTTCGAATACGAGTGAGCTCGACTTAACTGTACAATATAATATACATAGATGTTAGTGGGGGAACTTAGTGCATGTACCCTGACACCCATACCTCTTAAGTTAGGTTAGGTTAGGTAAGTACTTTTATTAGGTATAATGCCAGAATGCCAAGGCCCAACACTCAGTTATTAATAGATACATTTGTATGTATTTGTATAGGTATGTAATACCTACTTAATGTAAGGTATGTGTAAATAAGTTTCATATTTTTTGTCTGTGCACTTTTGCGATATATATGTGCCAACCCATGTCCATGTAACCAGAACATCGCAGTGCTAACTAACCTACAGCGCAAAGTTATGATAGTAACTATATGTAATCGAACACAGATCATACAGGAATCCCCTTAGTTCCGAAACATATCGACCCTGGCTCCGTAGAGCAAGTACCTAACTCGCACCTTTTTTTTTTTTCCTCCCCCTTGAATAAAAATAAGTCTGATAGGACTTGCCTCAGATGGTTTCTAGCCTATACTATAGACTACAGAGAAAATCGATATCTCACGTCGTATAACGCTTAAAAATGGGCATTCTCCTCTGCGCCGTTGACCACACCGTTGGTTTGTTTCTTCTGTTCGCGTATCTCCTGGATAACCTGGTCGAGGCAACCTGTGCTGGCAGCCATGAAACCGAGGTACGTAGGCGATGGAGCAAGCACGCGAGATGTAAACTCCGGATGAGCCTGGACTCCGACGAAAAATGGATGATCCTTCAATTCGACCACTTCCATACGTTTTCCTGATTCATCCTTGCCCACAAAATTGAGCCCGGCTTTCTCTAGTTCCTCAATGTAGTCAGGGTTGACTTCGTAACGATGTCGGTGTCGCTCTTCCATAATAGTGGCATCGCCATACAAGGCCCGAAGCTTACTCCATTCGCTCCCGGCCTGGAAATGCGTTGCTTTCGTACCGAGTCGCATTGTGCCACCCATGATTTCTTTTGACCCTTCTGGCATGAAAATGACAACGCGATGCTCGGCGTTGGCATCAAATTCTTCCGATGTAGCATCCTTGTAGCCGCATAAATTCTGGGCGGCTTCTATAACGGCGACTTGCATTCCGAGGCAGACTCCCAGGTAAGGGATCTTGCATTCGCGTGCCCATTTTGCAGCCTTGACCATTCCTGCCACGCCTCTACCGCCGAATCCTCCCGGGCAGATGCCTGTATGGAATTAGCTAATAGCACGCTAGACGTACCCGAGATCTGGATGGAAGAGTTCAATTACTTACAACCAGAAGCGACAGTCAGTTGTGACCAAGCTTTGTGATATGTGGTGGGATCGCTTTTCAGGGTAGCCTCTTCAAGGTGCTCTGCATCAATCCAGCATAAGTTGAGCTTGCGGTTGCATCGCATTGCTGAATGCTCTAGAGCCTTAATAACAGAGAGATAACCTAGATGTAGATATTAATTTTCGCTATTCCAATCTTTTTCGGGTGGTAATATTCATCTCGAGGCAAACAACACCTATAGTTTACGATACCAAGTTACGAAAATTTGGCGGTACTTACTATCAGGAAGTGCGATATATTTACCGACTAGGGCAATTATTACCGGCTCTAGGTACGGCTTTGTCACGACAGTCTTCTTCCACAGCTGCCATAGGCTTTCGCCTTTGTGGACCAGGGTTGGCGGAATCGACAGTTGGTCCAACATCAAGGCTTCGCGTAGACGATGTAGTAAGCCCTGCTCTTCGAGGAGTAACGGTACTTGGTAGATAGTCTCGATATCCCGAACGGTAACGACTTGCTGAAATTCAACCTGGCAGCTTCGGGCAATCTTTTGAGTCGTAGCTTCGTCAAGGGGGCGCTCGCAGCGGCAAGCAATCTGCAGATACTCTTAGCTGACAACCTCATAAAATACTCTATTACGGTACTAACTAGGTCTGGTATTAAACCGGCACTTCGCATCTGTTTGATGGCGTGCTGCGTAGGCTTCGTTTTCTCTTCTCCGTGAATAATCGGTACATAAGAGACGTGTATGTTGACCATATTTCCTTTGCCAACCTTATATCTGAACTGAGTTAAGGCTTCCACAAAGGGCATGCTCTCAATATCGCCAACGGTACCTCCCTATCAGACGCCGGTTAGATTCATACGTACCAAAGCCGAGTTTGTAGTTAGGAATAATGAATTTAGAATAAGGACGTACTAATTCAACTAGAAGTCGGCATCGATTAGCGCTTGAAAATTCGCCGGGGATCATGCATACGTACTAATACAGACATCGGGCTCTTCACTACTATCATCAACTGGTATCCTCGCAACTCGTTGGATCCAGTCCTGGATAGCATCTGTGATGTGAGGCACAACCTGAACTGTGCGCCCTATGTAGTCGCCCTTCCGCTCTCGTTCGATTACGGCCCTTTTCGGGGAAGATGGTCAGTGATACGTATGCCAAAAATAAAACCGGCAAGGTTAGAGTGACGAACTTATAGATCTTGCCCGTTGTAATGTTGTTCTCGTTAGTGAGGTTGAGATTTAAGTAACGCTCATAATTTCCGAGATCGAGATCGGATTCACCCCCATCCTGGTTTCTATCAGCATAGTGGTAATGGCAGTATGCAAAGAGCGAGATATTTACCTTCAAAACGAAACACTCTCCATGCCTTGAACCAACAATTACTGTTAGTGTTACAATATATATATTACTTTAGGTATCTCACCTACTCGAGTGGACCTAGTGTGCCAGCATCTACGTTCAAATACGGGTCAATTTTGATGGCCTGTCATGCGATAGTCAGCATGTGATATTTAAGTGTCATAGACGTCGTATGCTCATACCGTAACCTTAAGACCCGTTGTCTTGAGCAGAAGTCCGGAGGAGGAAGCTTTGGGAAATTAGTATGTTCAGAAATATTCGTGAGTTTTTGAGTTTTTTTTCTTGCTGATATACCTATTATTCCTATTAAAGATGCAAAATTAGCAGCCGAAGATGATTTTTATTTACTTAGCCATTGTTATAATTATTTTGCAACCAGTTTCAACACAGAGAGGCGCATGAGAATCAACAAAAACATAAGTGAAAGGACCAATATACCTTTGCCAATGCCGCTGATGACACCACCGCTGACTAGCACGTACTTCATCTTGCCAACTTAGTTGTAAAGTTTGGGAAGCGTAAGAGTACGATGCCAGTGCCAATGTAGGCAAGGCTACTTCTTATGAGTAAAGGGCTTGGATAATATGATTAGAAGAAGGCTGCTGATAGGAATGTGAATACTGATATAATTATTTGGTGGGCTGTTGCGGTGTGTTCGACTCTGCTGAAGGCAGAATCTAAGCAAGTGATGAAAAGTAAAATGATAATAAAAAAAAATGTTCATCTTCCTTACTGCTCAACAAGGTTTCTGACAGGGACCCCTCTATCGATAAGATAACTTCATTCTTTTCATCCATGTTAGGCAGGCGGTAAATAAGGTTGAGGTACAATAGGTACCTGCATGTCGATACATACCCTGTAACTTGTAAGTACTTAGTACATAACTTACCGGTACTATTACTATGTACTGTACGTACCGGTTGGAGGGGCACTGCACTGTCTTTGACTCTTTGGTGGGGGGAGGGGAGGGGGAGGGGTGTGTTCCTAAGTCGCGAAACAATTCAATTTGCAGCAATCAGATGTGACTCAGGCTCACACAAGCTTCATACATAGTATAGCATAGGGGGGGAGGTTCCTCAAAATCTCAGATTTCTTTCCATCAAGGTACAGCGCCTTAAATCCCCCTCAAAAAAATTTGTACCTAGGTACTAATTCCATTTTTTTTTAAGCATGGCATCTTCAACAACAAGTCCCCCGTCGGGGGATCTTGCCTCGCGCATTCTTCAGTCCCTCAACAAAGCCTCGCCGCTTCTCTCGTCCGAGGCCTTTCCAGACGCGAGCTTCGTTGAGGTTAAAGCTGCCCTAGATCGGTTAGCCTCTCGTGATATGGTCACCTATGACACAATAGAACGAGAGGAAGCTATATTGGAACCGGAAGGTGAGCAGATTGCTGCCAATGGTAGCCACGAGGCCCGCGTATTCGAGGCCCTACGCTCTGCCATCGACGGCTTAACAGTGCAGGATTTGGAGAAGGCCATCGGCGACAAGAATGTTGTTAAGATTGGTCAGGGCAAGGCGTTCAAAGAGAAATGGATATCCAAGACAAAGGGTATGTTTGAAAGTACTATCCTGCCACGCCAATGCGACCACTGCTAATCAATAGGCAAATTTATAGATGGCAAATTCAAAGCTGCCCAAGACTCCATAAAAGATGTTACTAAAGAGCAAATGTTGACCATCAAGGAAACACGGACATACCCCGACGCTAAACTACTTGCCGACTTGAAAAAGCGAAAACTTATCAAGATGCAAAAGATCATCAGCTTCAAAATCCACAAAAGTGCCAAGTTTGCCCTGAAGATCCCCGAAGAGGCAACAGACTTAACCGCCGACATGATAGCCACGGGCTCATGGAAGACGGCCACATTCAAGCCGTATAACTTCAAGGCTGCAGGAGCAGATCAGCACTCGGGCGCCTTTCATCCGCTCAACAAAGTTCGTGCCGAGTTCAGGCAGATTTTCTTCGAGATGGGATTCGAGGAGATGCCTACCGATAAGTACGCGCTCCTGACGACCACAATTAGCACGAGCTAACGTGGGATTTCTCTCCAGGTTTGTCGAGTCTGGCTTCTGGAACTTTGACGCCCTTTACGTACCACAGCAACACCCAGCGCGTGACTTGCAAGACACCGTATGTTAGCACCTCGTCTTCCACCGTTATATCTCAAGGGATACCCCAGGGCATACTGCTTCGATTTCTCGTCTTAGCCTTAATCAGCTCCTAACATTTATATGGAATAGTTTTATATTTCCGATCCCGCCGCAGCAGATAGGCCTCGGGAAACATCGCCCGATGACAAGAAAGACTACAATGCTTACTGGGAGAACGTGAAGGCGGTCCATCAAGTACGTATTTCCTATCATCATTTGGTGTGCTCCTCTGAATAGCTTGTAGATTGCTAATCCGCGATGCAGGACGGAAAATACGGTTCAATCGGCTACCGATACCCTTGGTCAGGGGACGAGTCGCTACGATTGGTACTACGTACTCACACAACAGCCATCAGTGCAAATATGCTTTATAAACTAGCAGCCAGAAAGGGCCCCGACGGCCGCCCACCACCGGCACGCTACTTCTCTATCGACAGAGTTTTCCGAAACGAGAGCGTTGATGCAACACATCTGGCAGAGTTCCATCAAGTTGAGGGCGTCATCGCTGACGCGAACTTAACTCTGGGTGGCCTCATGGAGGTGAGCATCTAACCCCAGCTATTTATTAATCAAGATAACGTAGCGAGCCTTCTTCTCACTTTATTTAGTTTATGGACATCTTCTTCGGCAAGATGGGTCTCACCGATCTCAAATATAAACCCGCCTACAACCCATGTGCGTACTCACTCCAATCTACGTAATCGCTGATATTTCACATAAACCCCTGGATATTATGTTGAGGTTTCTGGCGGATTGCTCGTATTGATTGGCATGCTTTGCTAACATCAATATAGATACCGAGCCTAGCATGGAAATTTTCTCCTACCGTACGTATCCCGCAAACTACAGCCTATTCCAGTCACTTTGGTCTAGATCCTAACATATTACAACAGACAAGGGTCTCGGCAAGCTTATCGAAATAGGAAACAGCGGAATGTTCCGCCCTGAAATGCTAGAGGCCATGGGATTCCCGTGCGTATTATACCCCGATGTTTTTTTTCCCATTGTCATCCTCAGTTTCTATTTTTATTTATGGGATAACTCTGACTCTTATTGCAGCCCTGATACACGCGTGTACGGGTGGGGTCTCTCCTTAGAACGACCTACAATGATCAAATATGGAATCTCAAATATCCGCGAGCTACTTGGTCACAAAGTAGACCTGAGGTTTGTACAGAGCAGTCCCGCTGTACGCTTAGACAAGGATTAGAAGAAAATTTGTCTTTTTAATATCAAACGAAAGGGATTTTACTAGAAGCACAGCCAGTAACATCAACTGGTGCTCTGGAAAACTCTCATAATATGCGCTGCGTACTCCTCCCAACAATAGGACAAGACGTACCCTCAAAAGGTAGCCCGAATAGCCCAGGGTTTTGATGTACATAAAAGAGACATGTTTGACCTAAATCTGCCTACCAGTAAGTGCATATAGGTAGCTAAATCACTCGTACTAAGTGTCGGAGCAGTTCATGTTACTTACATTAGGAATTCGTTCCAACCTTGTCTAAATCCCACCAAATCCTAGGAGGCAGACCTCAAAGTCATTTGTCTCTTGCAGTATCATCACGGACAAAGCTTATAATAATCCAAGCGAACGCTTCAATAACCTCACGAATAAGTAGATCTGTTGTTGGACATCCTAATGTCATGGCTTTCGTCGGAGAATGTAAAATCGACTTGGCATATTATTCGATCAAAATAAAAGTAGTTAATATGTTGGGAAGTGCAATATAACGAGTAGATAATCTAGTTCAAGGTCACCATGGGTAAATATCTAGCTAGCGCTGCTGTTTAAACGAACCTGTGCCGGAGTCCGTAGACAGAAAATGATTACATCGTCGCCATATATATTACATGACCAACGCCTCATGATTACTCCCACGATGTGACCGTCGTGAATACTGAGCGCGAAGAGCCAACTGGGTATGGTATTGATACTCTAAGTTACGTCTACCTATCTTAAGTCTAGGGGCATAGGAAGGGTATAAGCAATACGCATTATCTATGTTGTCCAGCTTACAGCTTGGAGTCTGCCCCTGTTAATAAAGGCTGCTGTATAATCGACCAGGCACAAAACAATCCTAAGTGGTAGAACTGGTATGGTTATCGCCATAAATGCTGAGCGAACCAGCCGCACCTCACTACCCTTCAGATATGGCGTTATTTGCAACCTATAACCAAGATCGTTAACCAACTAGTGGATGTTGAGATACTTTCTGCCCATTCACCACCTTACGACACAGTAGCATCAGCTGGCTAGCTCACAGGGTTCAATTTAAGAAGTTCTTCACCCAGTGACTGCATAATTTCGTATATAGTAAACCCATCTTCTGTCATATAATGCTACGATAATCAATCACGAAGCAATATAAACTTGTACATATCAACATAGGGGTCTATGGAACCAGTATCGTTCGTTGTGCTCCTTCCAGTGTTGAATGTAAAGGAAGCATCACATCTCGATGAGCGGTATGTACAGATACCGGCCTTCACGAAATCACAGCCCGTCTCTAGGCCTCGATGCTCTCTGCCTAGTAACATATGTTCCATGAGCCACGTATAGCTTTAGAATGACTACCTAATATATAAGGTAGATTGAATAGGAAACCGGTCTACAGTTCTCCATCTGCGCGTGCAATCAAGGGATTGGTCCGACAAATATAAGCTGGGACTAGTTCTTCCTCAATACTGCACATTTCCATCCAATGCACGTATATCGTAGCCATTAACTCACACGACTACAATTAGATTGGGCCTCATGCCGCCGCCGGCGCGAAGGTCACGATGCCGGTCATGTTTACAGAACCCACTCCCCACCCCTCTCTGCAGCCGAAAAGATTTCACCGGAGCGTTGATCACAGCGCCATATTTGCTGAGCAAGACAGGACAGATGTGTGTTCAAGGACCTTTATCAACCCTCGGAGACAACACATTTCTGATTTTCTATACAGCACCAGCCTAACATTATGATTATTTTCGCAGTCTCACATCACATATAGGTTACACAATAAACGCTTTCACATAGACAACCTACATCTAAAGATATTTCGGAATGAGCACACTTGAAACTTGAACCGCCCAAGCCATCCACAAGGGAAATTTCCACTGGGATATTGGAGCTGATGAGGAGAAGTGTCTGAGTGCATTTCTTGACGGCCACTTTCGTTCCCTCACGTCCTGGAAACCAGCCCGAAACGGAATTGTCAGGTATGTGGAAAGTTGTCCAGTCCAGGCTTGACGACTTTCTACCCACAGTCCTTTCCGATACCATTCATGGCAAGTAATTCATGAAGAAATGCCTCAGCGACGATAAAATATGCCGGTGGAATTAGTGTTAAATCAAAGTAAAACTATATTGATAGCTGAGTGAGGTTTCCATTCATCGTCCCTATAATACTTGTCAGGGTCTTTATTGTTACGGGAAATAATTGACTAGATATTTCCCTACCCCGATCTATATTAGGTATCTAATTCAGTTGCTTCCCAGCCGATAGAATCTGCATGGTACGCGTGTGATATTAAGGCACTCTGTGAAAACTCGAATGCAGGATGGGCGGTAGATGGGCAAAATTTTCGTAATTGCAGGGTTCTAGTGAGACGACCCAGAGTGTAACCGGCTATTTGCCTACCTAACCTACTATAGGTCACGGGTCTGGGCAGGCGTATGGAAATGGTGGTGTCTTGATTCGTAGAGGTAGCAAGATAGGTAAGGTAAACCACTAGGTGGAAAGCTCACAGGTCGTCAACACGGTTAACTCACCACAGCATACTCCAATACGAGGTTCTATAGCCGCTTACTCAGTGCTACACCATAATGCACGACCCGGATTTCTGTGCAATGGGAGGCATTAAGCCTTGCTGCCGCGAAATACGGGGTCTAGTATGGAAAAGATAAACATACGGCGAGTACTGATCCCGGGTTATAATCCACATCAAGCTAAGCATACCAACAGCTCCTTACCCTCATAGATTCAACACCTACTACTCATAACTTCATGAACAGAAAATACACTTAATCAACATCCCCATGGATTCAGTCTGGAACTACGACCTTTCTTTTATGGCTACAAATATTTCCACATATTCGAAGGTCATGCTTTTAACAATTGAAAGGCAATTCAAAACAATAGTTCCATCGAACTTAAAATACTTCGAAAGGAATTGTCCAAATTGCTTGCTTGTTAGATTAGGGGAAAGCAACTTCGGAATATACACTTGTTGCAACAGATAAAGGCATAGCTATTAGGCATAATTGTAGCAACTTCGCTGAAAAAAAGCCCAGCTGGCTCAATGGTAGAGCATTGAGCTTCTAAAATGATACTCAAAGGTTGTGGGTTCGAGTCCCACGTTGGGCTTTTAAAAATATTTTAAATTTAATTAATTTAAATTTTTTTATAACTTTGTGAAAGTTTTATTAATTATTTTAAGTTTTTAAAAAGTTATTATTATTAATTTATAATAAATAAAATTTATTTATTTTTATTTTTATTTAATATATTTAACTATTAATAAAATAAAATAAATATTTTAAATTTTATAATATATTATATTTAATTAAAATTTATTAATAAATATTATTATTTATTATTTATTAATGTAATAAACTTATATTTAAATTCGTTAAAATGTAATAACTAGGGTTTTAATTTTTAAGTAAATAATAATAATATAAGTTAAATATTAATAAAATGTTAAAATATTTATTAAAAAACCTTAAAAATTTTCCGTTTATATAAATTAAATATAAAATTTAAATTAATATTTAAAAAAATGTAAATAAATAATTAAATATATAATAGTTTAAATATAGTCGTACGTTTTTTATTCATATATTATTTCGTTTTTAAATTTTATTAATTTTATTAATTTTTAAAATCTTATAAATTTTAATAAAATCCTTAAAATCCATAAGATTTATAAGATTTAATTAATTAAAATTCATTTAAATTATTGTTAATTAACACCTCGCTTCTATATTTAATATAACTTTATTAGGTTATTAATTTGTAATAATTAATAAAAATATAAAAAATAAATAAATTTAATTTTTTTAAATAAAAATAATTATTTAAAAATATTTTTAATTAATTAATATATTAACGTAAATTATAAGTTAATAATTTACACGAGTTAATAATTTATAATTTTATATTTTTTTAATTAAAATTATTTTAATTTAATATATTTTTAAATTATAATTTATATTCCCGTAAATATTATAACGTTAAAACATTTAATAAGATTTATTTAAAAACTATTTTTAATATTATTACTTTTTTTTAAAGCCGTGAAACTTTTCCATTTTTAATAATAAAAAGTTTTTTTTTATAATCGTTTATTTTTAATTTTATAACATTTAAAAAATATATAATTTTTATAATTTTATTTAAAATATTTAAAATATTTAAAATAAATTAAATAATTAAAAGTTTAATAATAATATATAATTAACTTTAATTATATTAAATTTTAAAATTATTTTATTATTATTTAAAAAATATAATTTAATTATTTTAAAATTTATATATATATATTTTTCTATAAATAAAATTTAAAACATTTTATAAAACTGTGACGAACTTACACTTAAGTCTGTTAGAATGTAGTAACTAGGGTTTTAATTTTAGGTAAATAGTAGCGATACGGATTAAGTATTAATAAAATGTTATAAGTATTTGTTAAAAAGGTTTAAAGTTTTTTTTTATATAAGTTAAATATAAAATTTAAATTAATAGTTAAGAAAATGTAAATGAATGATTAAATATATATTAACTTTTATAATTTTAATTATCCCCTTTATTTTTTTAAAGGTATTGTAATATGGTTAATTTAATTAAATTAATTAAATTGTACGAGATTATAATTATTATTAACGTTTATCTGTTATTTTAAAGACCTTGCTTCCGTTGATATGTTTTTAATAAATATTAATTCGTAATATTATCTTTTTTTTCCTATATTCTTTATCTTTAAAGATTTTTAATTTAATAAGTTCCTTTGTTTTATCTTCTTATTTTATTGAACTAATTTAATTTAATAATATTAGAATGTATTTCCAAATTATTTATTAAAGTTCGTTATTTAAATTAATATTAAATTTTTAAAGTTTGTACTATTTATATTAAGACTTTTGGTTTTTTTAAAATACTTTATTCAAATTGTAATTATTTTAGGGAGATATTATATTTTTTTCGTGGTTAGTTTTTTATTTTATAATTATTATATTTAATAAATAAATTGTACTAGTTATAACGTAATAAAGATAAATTTTATTAATTATTTTATTTTTGAATTTCTTTATTTAAAGGAGGAACGTAATAAGGCGGAAGATAAATTAGTTAAGTTAAATAAGAAATTTCGAAAATATTAAAAAAAAATATTATTTTTTAGGAAAAAATTAATAAGTATTTAAGTTTTTTATATTATTTAAAATATTAAAAAGATATAATTAAGGATAAGGCTTTTTATATCTTGTAATATAAAAAAATTTAAATTATTTAGAATATAAAAAGGGTTAAAGTGAGGACATTCTAAGCCCGTTTAACTTAGTAATGCTTTTTAGCAATTACATTAAAGTCGCCTTTTTTAAGATAGTTTAATTCGAATTTAAACTTTTCCTTTTTTGTAAACGGTTAAGGTTTTTTTAATAAAAGTTTTTAATAAGCTTTTAAGCGTTTTTAAAGTACTTAATTAATTCTTATATATTTTCTTTTAATAAATAGTCCTTTTATTTTATTAAGTATTTAATTTAATTTCTAAATAACTTAAAATCTAATATTCTTTTTAACTTTATATTTTTAATTGGTTTTAACGTTTAAAATAATTTATATTAATATATCTTTTAGGGCTAATTTTAATAAAGAAATGTAAAAAACTGGGTGTAATTTCGTTTTTAGTGGTAATAATAATTTGTAATTAGTTTTTAAAATAATTTTTTCGATTTTAAAAGGTCTAAATTTTTTGTAATTTAATTTTTTACTTAATCTTTTACTTTTAATATTTTATCATAATAAATAAACTTTATCTTCCTTCTTAAAGATTAATCCTTTAATTTTATATTAATTATTATATTTCTTTATTCTTGTGACGAACCTACACTCAGGTCCGTTAGAGTGTAGTAACAGAGGTCTTGATTTTAGGTAAACAGTAGCGATACGGGTCAAGTGTCAATGAAACGTTGAAAGTGTTCGTCAGGAAGGCTTGGAGTCCTTCCCCTTATATGGGTTAGATATAAGACTTAGATTGATAGCTAAGGAAATGTGAATGAGTGTCTAGATACATGATGGTCTTAAATACTTCGTGGACCTCCCCTATCCTTCGTTCTCTGAGGTTATCGTGATCTTGGTGATCTTGGTGATCTGGTTGATCTTGACGAGATCAACAAGATCACTACCCTCCATTAGGTTGTCCGAGGTATAACCGCGAGATCGTACGTTTCAAGAACCCCGTTTCCTCACAAGGTATGGTTCCCGTGCTGTTGGTTCGTAACAATTCTTTTTTATAAGAACTTAAGTTTATTTGCTAAGTACTTTTATATAATAATAACTTATTCCGCTATGGTTTTTACCTTAAGTATAAATATTTCTTTTATATTAATTAATTCTATAATTGTAAAATTATATTTAATATTTATTTTAAATAAGGATATTTTTATACTTTTATTTATAAAATTATTATATATAATTTTTACTTATAATAATAACTTTATTTAATTATTTTATATTTTATTAACGTATATGCGAAAATACTATTTTAACATTTAATTTAATCGTTTTATTTATTTATTTAATTGTAAGTAATATATTATAAATAACTTTTATTTAATATTTATTCTTTTCGTTAAATTAATCCAAAATTTTAATATAAATAACTTATCCCTATTTAAAATAATACATTTTAATAATTTATATTTATTAATTATATATTTAAAAAAGGCATATATTAGGTTTTTTATTATATTAAATTTTTTATATAATATAAAATATCCGTATTTAATTAACTTATTAATTATTACTTATATATTATTATATAATATATTAATTATAAGTTTTTTTAATAATAGTAATTTAATAATAAAATTTTATGCTATGGTTTTTTAAGCTTTATTTGGAATTTCCGTAAGTTACGTAAGCTTATATGATTTATATTTAATTACCTTTATCTTATTATATATATTATAATCGTTTATTACTTTTTTAACTACTTTTAATAAATTAAAGAAGTTATAATTTTATATAATTTATTATATAATTTAAAAAATTACTTAATATTTATGTAGCAAGTGCTTATGGTATTTTTTAACAAATTCGTATTATAAGGCTTTAAATATATATACTTTCCTTAAATAAATAACTATACCTTTTCTAATTTTAATTTACTACCTTAATACGCGTTATTTATATATTATCTTTTTCTATAAAATATAATATTAAAAAGATAAATATTCTTTATTTATTTAATACAAATACTACTTTTTCCTTTATTATATTTTTTATATTAACCCCGTTAAGTTTATTAAATATATTTATTTATATATTTACTTTTTTTATAACATAAATTATTTTAAAATTAAAGTTATTAAAATATTTTACTTATTTTTAAACTGTAAATCTCAATTTTCAAGTAATTATTAACGTTTAATAATTATTATGGTTGAAGAAGATTATAATAAATTCCTTAATTCTATTAAACTAATATCTTTATTTTTTAAATATTATTATAATAATAAATAATTTTTTATTATAAATTTAATATTTTATTTAAACTTTTTTAAAGGTTTTAAATAAATATACCATTAAGTGCCATATTTTATTATCTTTAAATTATTTTAAGATTACGCTTATAATTACGTTAAATCCGTTTATATAAATTTATTTAAATTAGGTAACCTTAAATAATCTTATTATTAAATCGCTTATAATAGCTTTTTATATTTCCTTAAAAGCTTGGTCCGTTTTTTAAATCTATTAAAAAGCTTTTTCCTTTTTTTATATAATAGTTATAATAAAATTTATAATTTTACTAAAATCCTTAATTAACCGTTTACTATAATTGGTAAAACCGTGAAATTATTATATAATAATATTATTATTTAGTATTAGCTAATTTTATATTATTATTATTTTTAAATTTTATATTTTAAATAATTAATTTTTTATATATAAAATTTACTTTTCTTTAAATTTATTAATAAGTTAACCTTATCTAAAGCTTTTAACACTTTATTCATATATTTTTCATATTAATTAAAAGTTTTAAAGAAAATTAAAATATTATTTAAATAAATAAAAACTATTTTTCTTAAAAATTTCCGTAATATAATTTCAATTATTCCCTAAAAAGTTATTAACGTATT